TTTTACTTTAATTTTATTTCTAATAATATCAAAATATTATTATAAATAAAATAAAATTATTTATAAAAATAAATACAGCAAGAAAGAAAAAATAAAATATACAAAATTTTATTTTTTTAAATTGTACTTTTATTTTTTTATTATTAATAATAATTTTGATATATTTCATTACCTGAACTTTATTTTTTAGTTGTATTTAATTTATAGTTTTAAATTTTACTTTCACGTTTTTAATTAAAAAAAAAAAGAATTTTGTAAAGTTAGATAAATTTTTATTTATATTTTTTTATTTATACTATTTTATCATATTAATTATAATTACTAATTAATGAATTCTGCTTAGTATTAAAAAGATACTTTGGTATATAATTCAATTAACTTTCTTCCCCAGCGCAGCGATATTTATTTTTACGATGTGACATCAAACTAATCAATAAAACACTAATGAAATTACTTTAATTGAAAAAGCGTGAAGAAAAAAAATATACAGCTTTTTAATTAGTAATGAACAAAGTGCATAAACTCCACCAAGAAACAATAATTATATTAAGATTAAAAGTGAAATATGCATAATTTCGAAACTTTTGATGAATAACTTGTCAAGAGAGAAAATAATAATTGCCTTGTGCCTTTATCAATATTTTAAAATAGATTCATTCATAAAATTGTTGTAGGCGAGTGTAAGAGGAAGAAGGAAGGAAAAGACAGGTGGAGAGCCTGTTGAATGATGAGTATTATGTGGAAAGGGGGCAATTGGGGGGAGGAGGAACGAGTTCAAGAGATGGAAGTACTGGTCACGGACATTGAGTAGTCAATTAAGCGTGGAATCGTGTCCCCAGTTACTATCTATATAAATATTGCATCAACAAAATGAGAGAAACTATTTTTCCTCTGGTCCATCACTTGAACCTGTTTCTCTCTCTCTCTCTTCCTCTGTTGTTCTCACCATGATTGATTAGCAATCATACACGACAACTCACTTTTTTCCACAATTATCAACGTTAAATAATACCACTTCTATCTACTTTTAATTACATTAATTGGAAATTTCATCTATTAATAAAAACTTAACTGCAGCAATTTAATCTTTTACGATACTTATTTTTTTCACGCCGCAGAAAATAATTCATCTTTCTCCTCTTTTTGTGGTTTTAACGGTTTTTTTCACTATACAAAAATATGAATCTATTTTGTATCAGACAAAACAAATGCATTTTCAAGCTATTGGAGAAACACCTTTACAGTTGAGTGCGTGAATACGATTTCGACATTTTTCAGTAAATTTTTTTTTACTGACAATTGAAAATTCTCGTCAAAATTCCAATTATCTTTAAAAATAATAAAATTCTCCTCCGAAATTCAATTATTTTCTAAAGTTTTCCTTAATTCAATGATTTTAGAATATATTTTAAAAAAATTTTCCAAAAGAGTCATTCCATTATATTTCGACTAAAGTCGTTGCTGACTAATTTTAAAAAATTATAATATTTTGCAGGAATGATGTTAAAGATATTAGGATCACCGAACAAAAAGAATTTTTTAAATATTTTTTATATTTATTGTAAAATAAGCATCTAAAGTATATGAAGTCGTAAAAACTGTCACATTTTCATCTATTAGAAAATATTAAAGAAAACACATAATTTACTATAAAAATGTAAAAAAGTTATAAGAATTTATTAAGAATGAATTGTTTTATTATTATAAATTGATAGAAACAATTATTAATAAGAAATATTAAATAAAAAAGGATTTTAAAGTTCACCTGCCAAATAACCTAATTTTGCAAATTTCATTCACTAAATGTGAGAAAGAGAAATCATTAAATTGAATAAAACCTTATGAAATATAAAGAACCTGTGATTAACTTTTAGTTTTTCTTATCACTTTCTTCCTTTTTTCTTCATAAATGTTAAAAAATAAGCAATTAAAACTGGCACTTTGCTTATTTTCACGATTTTAAAATGCAAATAACTTCTGCCCAGAAAAATGAAAAATTACGAAAATTGGACAATAATTATTTGATCACTAAATACACTCACTGGAAAAAGATTTTCTTTGGTCCCGAAGCTATTTTCCGAAATAATTAATTTTAAACTTTTCACTATTTCTATCAGGTTAATACATGTGATTTTTTTAAAACTGAAGTTGGTTCAAAACGATTAAACAAGAAGAGCTAACTTCGTCCTTTAAAAAACACATGTATTAACCTGATAAAAATAGTAAAAAGTTTAAAGTTAATGAATTCGGAAAATAGCTTCGGGACCAAAGAAAATCTTTTTCCAGTGAGTGTATCTAGTGATCAAATAATTATTGCCCAATTTTCGTAATTTTTCATTTTTCTGGGCAGAAGTTATTTGCATTTTAAAATCGTGAAAATAAGCAAAGTGCCAGTTTTAATTGCTTATTTTTTAACATTTATGAAGAAAAAAGGAAGAAAGTGATAAGAAAAACTAAAAGTTAATCACAGGTACTTTATATTTCATAAGGTTTTATTTAATTTAATGATTTCTCTTTCTCACATTTAGTGAATGAAATTTGCAAAATTAGGTTATTTGGCAGGTGAACTTAAAAATCCTTTTTTATTTAATATTTCTTATTAATAATTGTTTCTATCAATTTATAATAATAAAACAATTCTTTCTTAATAAATTCTTATAACTTTTTTACATTTTTATAGTAAATTATGTGTTTTCTTTAATATTTTCTAATAGATGAAAATGTGACAGTTTTTACGACTTCATATACTTTAGATGCTTATTTTACAATAAATATAAAAAATATTTAAAAAATTCTTTTTGTTCGGTGATCCTAATATCTTTAACATCATTCCTGCAAAATATTATAATTTTTTAAAATTAGTCAGCAACGACTTTAGTCGAAATATAATGGAATGACTCAAAAGAATTCAATTACTTAAAATTAAAACAAATTTTGATAAAATTCTTCTCAAAAAATTCAATTATTTTCAAAAATAATAAAAATTTCTCAGGAATTCAATTAACAAATTTTTTTAATTTTTTCGCAATAATTCAATTATTTTCGTAAGTAATAAATTATTTTCAAAAATTTTTTTTTAAATTCTCGTCAACATTTTAATTATCTTTATAAATGAATAGCAAAATTCTCTGACAAAATCCAATTATTTTCAGGAATTTTAATAAAATTCATTGCAAAATTCAACTATTTTCATAAATAATAGTATTCATCACAGGAATTCAATTATTTTCAAAAGTAATAAAATTTAATTATTTTCAAAAATTTTAATAAAATTCATGGCAAAATTTCAATTATTTTCTAAAATTTTTCTTAATTCAATGATTTTCAATATTCTACTATATTTTAACCAAATATCTCAAAAAAATTCTATTATTAAACAAAAATTTTGTACAAATTCTATACAAACATTCAATTATTTTCCAAAAAAAATAAAAATTTCACAGTAATTCAATTATTTAAAATAGAATTTGCATAAATTTTTTCAAGAAAATCAAATTTCTTAAAATTTGGCATGAATTTCTTCGCAGTAATTCAATTAGTTTTCATAAATTTTAAAATTCCCTTCAGGGATTTAATTATTTTCATAAATAATAATATCACTCGGAGGAAGTCCAATATTCTTTCTTATAATATAAAATAATGATTTTATCTTTCTGACATTTTTAATTATTATAAAAAATGAAGAAATCAATCAGTCGAAGACTCGGAGTGTTTGATTTCTTCATGTTTTATAGTTATGAAAAATTTAATTTATGGTTTTAAGTAAAATGTTCTCTTATTTGACTCGGACTGGTTACATTTTTATCAGTAATTGGTCCGTAATTTTTAATTTTTGGTCGTTAAAGTCCGTATTTTTAAATACTTTCACTGGTTCGAGCCCTGCCTTTTTTACATCATGCTTTGCATTCGCGAACGACTTCGCAAAGCAGTTGTGCGATGGTCTTAAGGTCATGTTATTCAGTGTGACGTTCTTCCGTAGTAAGTTCGAAATTGAGAATTAGAAGTTAAAAAAATAGAGGGAAAAAGCAAAAGTACAAAAATTGCAATTAATAATTAAAAATGTGGTAACTAAAAAGAAAAAAGAAAAGCAGAAAAATAGGAAACTGGCGAAAGTTAAAAATTTGTCATCGTGAATCGCTGGCTTATTTTGAGGTCTATTGTTATAGTGATGAGTAGGCGAATGAGGGCGTTTGTAGAGTGGTCGAAAATAGGGTGAATTGTACGATGAAAATAGAGGTTGCCCGGGGCGGAGGAGGAGGAAGCCCGCAGGGTTGTCACTTGCACGAATTCATGAGACATAATACACACAGAAGTGAGTCAAGGGTCCTCGAGACTTGTGCCCCACGAGGACTCTACGAATAGTTCAAATTTCAATGAAAGCCTTAATTAACATGCTAATTTTCTCTCCTCATTCCCTTTTCCAGTTTCTATATACACTCTTCCCACAAAAGACCCCTTTTAGATTCAGAGACAAAGTGACTGATAGTGGATCTCAAACTATTGTTCTTGTCTTATCTAAATGATTTATCTTCTCGGTATATATCAAATTTTCTCTTTATTTTTAACGGAACTTCTATAAATAACTTTTAGACATAAATTATATTTAATTTTAAATGAATCGTAAATTATTTTAATAAATCTGTAATAATTGGGGCGATTGTGACGCACTTTGTAAAAGGGGCCGAAGGGACCCGAACAGGACCTGAAGAAAAACATTATAGGTTATGTTTGTAATTTCTGGAGTGGGCCTTCAAATTAACATTTATTTCTTTTTCAAATATTATTAGAAAAATATTGGGTCGTATTAATTAATTTCCATTTGAAATTTTGGAATTTTTCTAATATTATTAGAGTGAGTATGAAATCGGATTTCGGTTTTATTCATTTAAATAGTGCGTCACTATTTAAAAAATTAAATTCTAAGTTACAATTTAAGAATAAAAAATAAATAATATTTTGAGAGAAAAAATTGAAAATTTGTTTTTTTGAATATTTTTCAGAGAGGTGAGGACAGTTGCGCTGAACAAGGGCTTATCGGGGTTGGGATTCAATATCGTCGGGGGAGAGGATGGAGAAGGCATTTTCATATCCTTTATCCTAGCCGGCGGTCCAGCGGATCTTAGTGGTGAACTTCGACGGGGCGACCAAATACTTAGCGTCAATGGCGTCAACCTCAGGACCGCCACCCACGAGGAGGCTGCGGCCGCCCTCAAGGTAATGTTCCGAAAATCTAATTAACATGCCCATGCAGTCGATCAAACTAGTCGTCCTCGCTCAATTATTCTCTTCTACGTACTTCAAAAAAAAAACTTAAATTATAATCCACTTGTTTTTGCTTCAGGGTTGCCACAAGTCAGGGAAATCAGGGAATTTTAGAATTCATAAGAAAATTCTGAATTTTTGTGTGCACGCCATCTGTGATCTGTGCCAGTTTGGCGTATCTGACGTGCATTATGTACGTCTGATATCTCGAAATGGCACCTCAGACGTGCAAAATGAAATGTACTGCTGTTGACACTGTCCTCGGCGCATCTAATGTCCCGGAATTTTTTCCGTGTATAAATTATCACGAATTCTAATACAAAACCTTCAATTTCTCATGTTTCTAACAATAAGTTCTTTTTAAATAACTTAATTTTTCAAGAACTATCATAAAATTATGACTCATAATAAATTATTTAATGAATAATTTTACTTAAATATTTCAAAATTAATTCAATTTTAAAAGAGTTGCCTTTACAATTTTCATAAATAGAAGAAATTCCAAAGGTTTTAATTTGAAATTTTAGAAAATTTCAATTTTTAATGAATTTAATTTGAAATTTTAAAGAACTTGGATTTTTTAAAAATTGTAAGTAATAATTCAAATTCTTCTGAAAATAGTTCATTTTTAAATAAATATTTAATTAATTATTGAAAATAGTAGATACAATAACCTACAATATACTATTTTCAAAAGTAATAAAATTCTTCGCAAAAATTCAATTATATTCGAAAATTTAAAAAAATTTTCGACAAAATTTCAATTATCATTATAATTAATAAAATTATCATCCGGAATTCAATTATTTTCAAAAATTTTAAGAAAATTCTTGGCAAAATTTCAATTATTTTTAAAAATTTTTCTAATTTCAATTATTTTCATTATCTATGTACTATTTTAATAAAATTATCCAAAAGAATTCAATTATTTAAAAAAAATTTTAATAAAATTCTATGTAAACATTTAATTATTTTCAAAAATAATAAAAATTTCACAGAAATTCAATCATTTTCATAAATAATAAATTTGTTTTAGAAATTAAATTATTTTCATAAATAATAAAACACATCGCAGAATTTCAATTACTTTTAAGTAAATTTTAATCAAATTTCTCGAAAAATGTAATTATTCTTAAAAATTTTATTAAAATTCATCAGAAGAATTCAATTATTTAAAAACTTAATGATAAACTTCTTCATAAAAATTAAATTTTAAGAAATATTTAATTATTAAATAAATTATTTATTTTTGTATTTAAATAATTAAATTCTCGTAGAATTTTATAAAAAAATTTGATTAAAAAATTAATTGTAGTTAAAATTTTAGATACAAATGATTGCAAAAATTCAATTATTTTCAAACGTTATAAAATTCTTCTCAGAAATTCAATTATTTTCAAAAATTTTTAATATTTACTAAAAAAAAAAAAATTTATAAAATTCTACTCAAATATTTAATTATTTTCATAAATACAATAATAAAAATTCGACAGGGATTCAATTATTTGCAAAATTTAAAATTTAATTATTTTCATAAAAATAAATAAGAAATTCAACAGGGATTCAATTATTTGCATAAACAACAAAATTCTTTTTAAAAATTCAATTATTTTCATAAATAATAAAACTCAACGCAGAATTTCAATTTTTTTAATACATTTTTTATCGATTTCCTCGAAAAATGTAATTATTTTAAAAAATTTTATTAAAATTCGTCAAAAGAATTCAATTATTTTAAAATTTGTTAAAAAATTCTTTATCAGAATTCAATTTTAAGAAACATTCAATTATTCAATAAATTTTTGTTTTTTGTATTTAAACAATTGAATCCTAGTAGAATTTTCTAATAAAAATTGATTTAAAGATGAATTTCAGTTAAAGTTTTAGATAATAATTGAATATTGAAAGCATTATAGGATGAATTTTTAGAAACAATTGAATTTGGAAAAGGTTTTAAATTTAAATCTTTGAAAATTTAAATTTTTCATACTTTTAATTAAAAATTTTGTAGAATTAAATTTTTTGAAAAAGTTTAATAGAATTTTTTTGAAATTATTTAAAGTTTTTATTTTCTAAATTTAATTGAAGAATTTCCGAATTTGAAAATTCTCAAAAAACGTTTGCAAAATGTTTTAAAAATTTTTGATTTAAAGAAGAATTTTTGCTAAAAATTGTAGAAAATTATAATTGAATTGAAATGATGAAAATAATTTTGAAAAGGTTTGAATTTGGAATTTTCAAAAATCTTCATTTCTATGAGAAAATAATAATGATTAAATATTTATTTAAAAAAGAAGTTATTGATGTTTTTGAATAATTTTATAATTAACGAAATTCGTTAATAATTATGTAATAAAACATTATTTTGAATATCTAATCATTTTTAGAATCAATCAAAATATTCTTCAGTGTCAAGGAAAGAGGCAAAATTTTGTCTGGAAATCAGGGAAAAGTCAGGAGAAAAACAAAATTAAATTTTTGTGGCAACCCTGCATAATGATAAAATTTCTTTTTCACAAAAGCAGTAAATTGAGAAGCGTAATATTTTCTTTGCTTTTTAATAAACTGAAATTTGAGACAGAATTAAAATTTCTTTTTTCCCTTATAATAATCAGTCTTCTTTTGTGTTAAAGAATTTTCTAGCTGAATGAGGCTATTAAAAATATTTCTCAAGGGTCTTTATAAATTCAGGCCAATCGATTCTCTAAAAAAACGTCCGCTAAACAAGCGAAAGCGTATCTGGGACATCTGGTACACAATCGCTGATTTCCAAAAAGAAACATTTTACAAAAGAAAAATGTTGTTTGAAAAAGAATTAAAAAACACTCTTTAAATACGATTTAAAAAACGATTGAAAAGAATCTTTAAATAGCTCGTCTCGATAAATTATTTCTCATCTATTTTATCATTCTGTCATTTAGAAAATTAAATTTGTAAAAAAATGTTTAATTTTTGCTAAATTGATAAAAAATTTGCCTTAATTTTGATGTTCAAGTTTACTGAAAGATAAATGTTAAAGAAAAAATTGAAGACTTAATTCAAAAGATGATGTCTTTGAGATGATTTTGATTGATAAATTGAATGTAATGTAAAAACAGCCCTAAATGGATCAAGATAAAACCTTGCTGCAACAAGTAGGTGTGCAACAAGTGAAATTTATGTAATCTATCTTTTATATATATATACACACAGAAAAGAAAAACGTTTCACAATTTTCAATGTACGGTTTAAACGATTTGACGTATTAGGAAAGTAAATTGCTGTGAAAAATTTATTTTCTGTATTTATTATTTTTGTGTGACTGTTTTTTTTATTAATTTACTTGTCAATTTTTAGGGGACAGATCAAACAGTGACAATTGTTGTGCAGTACAAGCCAGAGGATTACAATAGATTCGAGGCCAAGATCCACAATCTTAAACAACAAATTTCCCAGCAGAATATGATGACAGGCACCCTCATGAGGACCTCACAGAAAAAGTCACTTTACGTCAGGTGAAAAATTTTCCTATTCTGATTATTTTCTCTACTTAACGTTTTTCTATTTCGAGAAATTTTATTAAGAAGTTACATTTTTATTTATTTGTACCATATTTTTTTACTATTTACAAAATATTTTATTTAAATTATTAAAATTTTATTTAATTTTTATTAACTTTTTATTATTTTAATTTTTATTTAATAAAAGTTTTATAGTTAGTGAGTTTTTTTCCATTTTTTTTCAATGTAGATTCCACAATTCACTGAATATTTAAATTTTAATTTAAAAGAAAAATTGTTCGTTCATTCGAATTTTTATTCAGAAGATATTTTATTTATAAAATTATATTTATTTTCAATTTTGAGAATTTTTTTAACAGTTGTGAATTTTACATCGTTTTTCTATCAACAATTTAGAAGAAAAATATTTTTTCAAGTAGAACTTTTAAATTTTGATATATTTTTTAATTATTGTATTGTTTTCAAAAATTTACTGAAATGAGAAATAAATTTACTTGGTTACGAATTGATTTTTTTCAATAATGTTCAAAATTTACAAAAAAAACTCGACAAAATCCCAATTATTATCTTTATAAATAAAAAAATTCTTCTTCAAAATTCAATTATTTTCAAAAATTTTAATAAAATTCTTGTCAAAATTTCAATTATTTTCAAAAAATTTTCCCCAATTCAATGATTTTTAATATCTGCTACTTTAATAAAAAAAACTCCCCAAAAGAATTCAATTATTTAAAAACAATTTTAATAAAACTGTAAGCAAACATTCAATTATTTTCATAAATAATAAAAATTTCACAGGAATTCAAATATTTAACAATTTTATATAAGTTTCTTCTCAATAATTCAATTATCTATTCTAAAAATTTTTATTAAAATTCGTCAAAAGAATTCAATTATTTAAAAATTTGTTAATAAAATTCTTTATAAGAAGTAAATTTTAAGAAACATTAAATTATTCAATTAAAAAAATAATTTACTTTTTTATTTAAATAATTGAATTCTCGTAGAGAAAAAATAAAATAAAAATAAAAAATAAAAATTGATTTGAAAATTAATTTTAGTGTAAATTGTTGATAATAAATAATAGAATATGAAAATAATTTTAAGAAGCTACAGTAACAATATTCTTTTAATATAAAATAGTGATTTTTTACACTCGATTCATTTTAATTATTATAAAACATAAAGAAATCGATCACTCCGAGTCTTCGACTCGGAGTAATCGTTATCTTTATGTTTTATAACAATATTTTCAAAATTGATTAATTTCAAAAAAGTTTGAATTTGAAATTTTAAAAAATCTTAATTTCTATGGAAAAATAATAATAATTAAATATATTTTAAATATTTAAAAAAGAAATGATTGTTTTCGAATAATTGTACAATTAAAGGTATTCGTCAATAAATTTAACAGAACATTTTTTTCCTTTATTTTCTAAAAATTAAAACATTTTCAGTTTCATTATGAATTAAATTTTCTAATTGACAAATATAATTAATAAACATTTTTTTCCTTTATTTTTAAAAAACTTTGATTTTTATTAGAACAATTGAAATTAAGAAATAGAATTGTTGCAAATTATTTCCTTATGAGAATTGAGAATTTTCTACAAAAATATTAAGAAACGGGAATATCTAATGTTTTTCTTCCCAATAGAAAAAAATGAGTTTGTAAACAATATTGTTATTGATAAATAAATATTATGCCTAAAATGAGTATATTTTTTATTTGTTAATCATAATTTTTTTAAAATTTTCTAATTTGTAATATTATTTTTTATAAATCATGAAAAAATGCCTGCATATTTTCGATTTGTCAAAAAATATTTTTTAAAGAAAAAAAAAGCATACACAGAAACTAATTTCAAATTGCTGACAGAATGAATGAAAGAATACGGAGATTAATATTATAATAATAATAATAATAATAATAATAATAATAATAATAATAATAATAATAATAATTAATTTTTGTAATTATTTTTATTCGAGTTTTTTTTTGCGCTTTCCTAAATTGAAAATGAAATTTTCAGAGCTCTGTTCGACTACGATCCAAATAAGGATGATGGGTTGCCAAGTCGTGGATTGGCTTTTCGTTATGGCGAAATTCTCCATGTCACGAATGCAAGTGACGACGAATGGTGGCAAGCTAGGAGAGTCACACCTCAGGGCGAAGAGGAAGGTCTAGGAATTATTCCTTCACGCAGACGATGGGAACGCAAACAACGAGCTCGCGATCGTTCCGTCAAGTTCCAAGGGCACATGCCTGTCATAATGGACAAGGTAATTTTTATCTCCCACCCAATAATTTCAAATGTTCAATTCAATTTTTATTTAAAATTATTAATCGTCATTTAATTAGTATAATAAATGTAGTTTTTTATATTTATTATCCTAATAAAATTATAATAATAAACATTGTTTTTATATTTATTATCAAAATTATTTATTGATAAAATAAAAATTATTCAAATATTTCTCTTATTTGAATAATTTTTATTTTGCTTTTAATATATTTTATATTTAAATATATAAAATACTACTTTTGACACTTTTATTACCCATTTATGGCTTTTTATGGATAGTGGGAACAAATAAATAAATATATTGAAATAAAATACTTTTGATGTCATCAAATATAAAAATAATCGATATCATTATCAGTATTATTAAAATACATTTTTTGTTCACTAAAAGAAAATATATTTTTATTCAAAAAATGATTTAACATTTTTTTAGTTAAAAAGTAAAATATGTAAAAAATGTTATTTACGTAATAAAAATACTATTTTTACATTTTGTATTTTCGTTTCATAATTATTTTTTCCTTGAATTATTACTCAACATTTGACGTTTTGTTTCAGCAATCGACGCTGGATAGGAAAAAGAAAAACTTTTCCTTCAGCAGGAAATTCCCGTTCATGAAAAGTAAAGACGACAAATCCGAGGATGGCTCCGATCAAGAACGTAAGTATTGGAAAACTATTTTGAAAAAAATACATCTGCACGATCGGAGCATGTTCGGAATCATGTTTACATGTTTCGCCATCTCTATTTTGCACTTTTCTCAATTCCTCCCAAACCCCCTCTCATTTCTTTTTTCACATATGTGTATCATAAAATATGAATTTGTTAACTGTATTATACATATAATTTTTGTCTTGTAATTCCAAATTAGTATTGTAATTATTTTTATAATCCCGAAAGCATTGAAATTTATTGTATAAAAATTTATTTTTAACCCCTCTATTTTTTTGTCGACGACAGACCTGATCCTCGATTTCATGCTCATTTCTTTGTTTTTTGTCACTGAAAATATAATTGATCATTAAGCACCAAAAAAAGTTTGATAAAACACTTGTGAGTGGATTGAAAACCACCATTTTTTGCTTTTATTAATTTACAGGGTGTCTAGCGATTGGAAAATTTTGGAAAACCGGGAATTTACAAAAATATCGGTGAATTTTTTAAAAGTTTTGCTAATTCGTTTAAATCTATAAAGAATTTTAAGTCAGGAAATTTTATCAAAAAAGTATTGGAAAAATATTCAATTTCTAGAATTTATAAGAAAATTCTAAATTTTGTTGTCCAGCAGCCTTAAAAAATATTAAAAAGATAGAACTGCTACTGTAGTAGCAGTTCTTATAAATTATTGAATTTCAAAGGATTTGAAATTTGAAATTCTTCAAAATCTTAATTCCTATGGGAAAACAATAATATTGATTAAATATTTATTAAAAGAAACTTTTAATGTTCCGAATAATTTTACAATTAAATATATTCCAAATATATTTTTAGAGTGAATAAAAACAAATTTCTTTAGGGTCAGGAAAAAGTCAAATTTCTGTGTAGAAATCAAGGAAAAATCAGGGAAAAATAAAATCAAATTTTGGTGACAATCCTGAAGACGTATAACCGATTTTCTTAATATTGTTTTTATTGAAATATGAATATTTTAATTATATAGTTATTAATGTTTTAAAAAATAAATCCGGGAATATTTTGTTTTTCGGTCCTGGAATTTGAAAATAATAATTCGCTAGACACCCTAAATTTAATTTTTTTGGGATTTTGAGAGCTTAGAGTTTTCGTTTATTTTTTTCTCTCACTTTAATTGAAATTTATCCAGCACGAATCGAACCAGGTCCAAGTCAATCCCGAATGAGCTTTTGTGTTTTATATGTGATACGTGATATGTGTTTTTGTTTTGCCTGCTTGTGTAGGGTCGCCCACAACACCTGAGAATGAAAACGATCCTTCACGTAAGTATTATGTTTGAGAAAAAATGATAATTGTTCCTTAACAAAATTAGAGTTTTGTATCTTTTAATCCTTTAAAATCTTGCATCGAGAAATAATATCTTCTATCTATCTTCTATATTAATAATCGATTTATTCCGGTAATCTGTTCCCAGTTTGAAGTTAGTTGCTGTTTTCTTTGTTTCCTAAATTTTAAAATAATTTTTCTTTTTAAACGTTTTCAATTTTAAAATTAATGTACTGAAAATCATTGAATTCTTGTAAAGTATTTATAAAAAGATTTGAAAATAATTGAATTTTATAAAGAATTCAATTATTTTTAATATTGTAATAAAATTCTTTAGTCAATTTATAAATAATAAAAATCTTCGTAAAAAATTCAATAATTTTTATGTAAATAATAAAATTCTTACCAGGATTTCACTTATATTCAATACAATATTAATTAATTTCTTCAAAAATTTGAATTATTTTTAAAAATTTTGTAAAACTTCTTCGAGAAAATTCAATTATTTAAAAAAAATAATTGAATTTTTCACAAGAATTCAATTATCTAAAAATCTTTTAATAAAATCCAATTCAAGAATTCAATTATTTTTTTAAATAATTGAATTTTTGCTGGAATTCAATTATTTTAAATACAATTTTAATAAAATTCTTCTCAAAAATTCACTTATTTTTTTAAATTTTGCAAAAATTCAATTATTTGTATAAATAATATATTTTTTCGCAGGGATTCAATTATTTAAAAAAGTTTTAATAGAATTCTATTCGACAATTTAATTATTTCTGAAAATCATTGAATTCTTAAATTGAATTTTAATAAAATTTTTTTAAAGAATTGAATTCATTTCAAGAATTTTATCAATATTTTTTTAAGAATTTCATTAAATTTCGTAAAAATAATATAATTTTTTAAAATAATTTTAATTGAATATTTTGGAAATAATTAAAATTTACAAAGAATTTTATTAAAAACTTTTGAGAACAATAATAATTGAATTGTTTAGAAAAATTGTATTATATAATTTTGAAAAATAATTGAACCTGTTAGAGAAATTTTATTAAAATTATCTTGAATATATTATATTATATTATATTATAGTATATTATATTATATTATATTATATTATATTATATTATATTATATTATATTATATTATATATATTATATTATTAATTATCTTGAATTTTTTCCTAGAAATTGAATTAAAATTGTAATGAAAATAATTGAATTTCTCAAAAGAATTTTATTATTTACAAAAGTAATTGAATTCTTGCCAAGAATTTTACAATTTATAAAAATATTTGAATTGTTTCGAAGAATTTTTTATCAGAATTGTTGAAAATAATTGAATTACTTCCTCATAGAGGAAGTATTGTAATACCAAAATTTTTCGAGTTCGATTTTTTGACATATCTTTATGTTATTCGAATTTAATTAATATTTTTAAAAATAATTGTATTCTTTCGAGAAATTTTATTAAAATTGTATTGAAAATAATTGAATTGCTCTAAAGAATTTTGTTATTCATGAGAATAATGAAACTCTTGCGGAAAATTTTATTAACATTTTTTAATAATAATAAAAATATTTAATATTTTGTATTTAATAAGTGGATTTTTAAAATTTTTGAATCTCTAATTTTAATTTACAAAATAATAAGAAATGTAATACCGAGTTCCGCGCGCTGGCGCATTTATTATTTGCTAGTGTAAATAATAATTTTCAAATTTAAGAAGAAAGAAAATAAAAGTAGAGAGAATGAACAAAATGTTATATTGATGTAGGAAAAAATCAGAAAGGACATTCAACCTTTTGTATAACATATTGAAAATAATTTCAAAAGTTTTGAGTTCCACTTTTTCTAAATTTTAACTTTTTTTTCTAAAATATCAATTGGTCATTTGAATCAAAGTAATTTTTTTAATTTTAATTTGAATTTTTAAGAAAAAAGAAATTGTTTTTAATTATACTTTTGAAATGGTGAGTTTTTCTTTTCTCCTAAAAGAGTTATTAAATAAAGTTTGAATTTCCCGAGATGTTTTCTCAGATTAATATTTGAGTTCTAAAATTGATCTTTGTAATGGATAAAATTACTAATGAACGCCATATCCTGCTTGCTCTTAAAATTTTACCCTCTTTCTCTGCCATTAATATGCTTATTTAATGTAACCTGTAACAATAATTCTTCGCTGTCGTCGTTGCTTCCTCTTTGGCTTTGCTTCCTCTCCCCCGAGTTGCAATTCAAAACAACGAGTTTCTCCAAACTCGAACGTGACAATGAGTCCATTGTTCATTTCTATGTCACGAACAAAGATTTCCAGTAAAGTACGAATTCAGTTACAAGATTATCTACTTTAACTGACATTAAATGTCCTTTGTTTGTATTTTAAACAAAAGTCCTATTAAAAAACGAGAGGATTTTATTTTCACATATATTCAAAATTCACTTTTCATCTCTTATTCAAATTTCAAAATTTTTTTCTTTCCTGGAAAAATTTTGTCACGTTGACTTTTTTAAATTCAAAGCATTTTTGAATTAGAAAAAAATCTATTAAATTATTTCGAAAAATAAAAATTTGATTTTACGATTCTTCGTTTAATTTTTAATGGAATAATTTTGTTCGTCAATTTCCTCTTGTTGACTACTAATACTATTTTCTTTTCATAAAAATAAACTTTTTTTTTAAATAAAATAAATTAATAGTTTGACAAAAGAGTTTATTTTTTCAAAGACTAATTTTCAAATGGATTTTTAAATGAAAAATGTGGGAGTTTCGTGTATTGAAATAAAACAATCAGTAAGAATTTTAATGTCTTGGAATTATTGATATTTCCAATTAGTTTGCACGCGATTATAATTCGCTGTTATTTCGAATGACCACTAATTTGTGGTAGAGCTTAATTGATCGTAGCGGTGAAGCTTATTATCACATATATTGAAATATGAACTTATTATGTTCTAGAATTTATGCTGTGCTACACCCAGGATGACACGAATGCAGAAGGTAATCATATCTTTCTATCATATATATTCTCGTCCTTCTTAATCCAACATTTCAGTTTCATTACTCGCATTAATTAATTTTACCCATCCCATCCAGTTTTTTCTTGTTTTCCATTATTTTTTTGTCGAAAATAATATTTATTTACTATTAAATGAATTAAAAAAAGAAAACAACAGGCCTCGGATAGCAAAACGAACTTCATTTATTTCTTCTTCAAATTAAATTTTTATTACAATAATTTTGCTTTACTATCAACAAAGTTAATTATAAAGTTTCTAAATGTAAAACACAAGTTTTTTAATTTTCATTGTGAACAGTAATTTATGAAAATATTTCTTCCATTTGAACGTTTAAAACTTGTATTTAATTATTTCAAAAGAATGCGAATTTTTCGGTTTTGTTACAAATATTACAAAAAAAATGCCACATTTGTGGTGTAAAATACAATTAAATTTTTCAAATAATTAAAATTCTGTAAAATTTTATTCAGAATAATTTATTTCTTTGAAGTACTTTATTGAAATTTATAAAAATCAAATTTTGTAGAATTTTAGACAAATTTTGAAAATAATTTAACTCTCGAAAAATTTTAATGACAAATCTACAAATGAAAATTTTAAATTGAAAATGGAAATCAGCTCCAAAAAATTGTTAAAATATTTTTTTAAAAAAGTAAATCTTAGAATTTTTTCTTTATAAGCTTCAAACATTTAATTATTTTCAATACTTTCAATGACAAATTTCTGAAAATTCAAATATTTACAAAAAATAATGAAATACAAATTTTTTCGAAAGCCTAACTTTTTAGAGTTATTCTTAAAATTTTGAAGAAAATAATCATTTTTGAAATTATTAATTAAAATTCTTTAAACAATTGAGAAACTTTTAAATTGTCAAAAAATTCTTTTAGGAAAATGAATTATTTCCAAAAAATTTCATTAAAATATTTTTAAAAAACTGATTTATAGAATTTTTTAGCAACATGTTTTAAAATTGAATGATCTTTAAAAGAAGTAATTTATATAGTTTTTAAAAAATCGATTATTTAAGACTAATGATTAAAATTTTTTAAGATATCATGTATTTTCATATTTTTAATGAAAAATTCTTCCAAAACTTTGATTATTTTTTAATATTATCAAAAAACTGGTTAAAAAAATAAATTATTTTCAAAAAATTTTTACTAAATTTTAATTATTTGGACATTTTTTTATTATAAATAATTGAAAAGCTAACTTTTAAAAAAAGTCTAAGAAATATTTTTTTAAAAATATTATTAAAGTTATTGAAAAAAATTGAATGGCCGAAAAGAATTTTTGAACAATTTATTTTTTAAAGATATGATTTTATCTTTTAATCATTTTTTAGAATTATTATTAAACTTTTTGGAAAAAACAAGCATTTTCAAAAATATGAATCACAAATCAAAAAATTGATTTGTTATTTAAATTGTTCAAAAATTCTTTTCTTCTTTATTTTTATAAATACTAGTCCTCAGAATTCTTTTATATAGTAATTTTCTAAACATCAATTATCTTTTAAAAAGTAAATTTAAAATTTTAAAATTTCCACTTTTTTAGTCTTCTTATTAAAATTTTGGAGAAAGTAATACTTTTAAAAAATTTTAATTAAAAATCTACAAAAACTTGACTATTTTGTAATATTTTTAAACAAAATTTAAAAAAATCCAATTATTTAATAATAATTTTACTAAATTTGAATTATTTTTCATATTTTAAAAATATTTTTGAAAAACTAATTTTAAGAATTTTTGTATTACAATTTTTTTAAATTCTATTACTTTCAATAGTTTTGATAACATTTTTTTGAAAAATTAAAATATTTAGGACGTTAAAATGTTTATAAAAACTACTTTTTTAGAATTATAACTAAAATTTTGGAGAAATCAATGATTTTCAAAATTTTTAATTACAACGATTAAAACTATTTAAAAAATTGATTATTTTAAAAATATTTTCCAAACATTCTTCTAAAACGTTGAATTATTATTGAAAAAATTGATTGAATTTCAATTGTTTGAAAATATTTCAAACATATATTTAATTGAAAAATTTATTGTCTTTTAAAACTTATTTTTAAATAATTAAAGAAAAAATTAACAAAGAATTTTTTATTATAATTTTTCAAAAATTAATTAAATTTCAAAAGGTTTTAAATTAAATTTATAAAAATTGTATTCCTTTGAAAAAATAAATTTCTAGTATTTTAGTATTTACGCAAAATTATTGAAGTTTGAATAATTGAATTTAAAAATGAGTGAAACATCAGGGAAATACAAAATGAAATTTTTGTGATAACACTGAATAAAATAAACGACTTTTTTTCTATTCTTATATAATCAACTAAAACGACTATTTTTGAGCCTTAAAGTCAATCCAAGGCCTGAAAAAAAACTTTAGTTATAGTTACCTATTTAATTTTATAATTTATTTCTAAAAAGTGGAAAAATCGAGAGAATTTTTCCAGAACAAATTGCGATAAAAGATGAAAGAAAAAAAAAGTTGAAAATGAAATGAAATGAAAAAGGTAAAATTTATGGATCGTAACCAATCATCGTTCATCATGTTTGCCTTTCATTGAGTTTCTCCTTTTATTTATTTAAGATTTGTCCTCCGCCACAGGCAGTAGAGAAATTTTGTATCGTGTTGAACTGCCTTATATGGAAGAACTGACTTTAGTTTATCTGGAAAAGGAGGGTGTTGAGGATAATGAGGAGCTTAGTAAGTCAATGTGTGCACATCGGAGTGAAAAGACCCGTGAAACTAATATTACAAAAGTTGTCACCCTTTTACGAATCATGTTCCCCTTTACTTCTTTTTCTCTTTTTTTTCTGTATTTATTTTTACACATACACACAGAACTCTTGACGCATCGCGCAGATGAGACAGTCGCGAATGCATTGCTTTCTCCTTTTTTTGTGCTCTTGCTCGACTCTAACCGTTCTCTCCGTATAAATCGTTGTTTTGAAATCGACCCTTGAACGGAAAAGATTTCTTCTCGTTTTGTTTTTTCTCTAATTTTTAACACTTTTTAACTTTTTGGAAATCAAAACTTTTGTTTACCCTAGGAAAATAGTAAATACTTTTCTAAAAGTTACAGATTGTTTTATTAATCATAAGGATATTAATTGATTTTTCTTTGGAAAAAAATCATTAACCCCTTTTTTTCTCTAATCGATTTCTTTTTGCTGACAAATTGAAAGAAATTTTGAAGTTTGAAATCCAATTTATGTGGAAAAACTTCAGTGGGTAAAATATTGAGAATGTCCTCGATTGAAGCTTGTTTGGATAGATTGATTTGAGATGATCAGTCCCTTTAAAAACATGATATTGATGTTGAATTTCCTATTTAACAAGATGCAGAATTTAGTTTTGTAAAGTTAAAATTTTCTTCTTGATTTGAAAAAGTTTTATTCATTTGAGATTTCTTTTTTTATTGTTAATACAGGCAGTGAAGAGAACGTTTTATCATATGAAGCTGTTCAACAACTTAGTATTCAATATATGCGTCCTGTCATTATCCTGGGACCTCTCAAGGATCGGATCAGTGACGACCTTATCGCTGAGTTTCCCGATAAATTCGGCAGCTGTGTCCCTCGTAAGTTTGCTTCTTTTATTAAACAAAATTAATTAAATAATTAATAATACTTCAACTCTCTGAATCATTCGTAATTGATAAATAATAGAGTTGTGCAAAAAGCTCGAGGCTCGAGGCTCGAGCGAGCTTTTTCGAGCTTTTCATTTTTCGGGCCGAGCCGAGCCGAGCCTAATCAGTTCGAGCTCGAGCCGAGTTCGAGCCGAGCCGAGCTGTGTAAAAAGCTCGAATAGTTTCGAGTACTCGAGTTAATTCGAGTACTCGAATTTTTCGAGCACTCGAGGGAATTCGAGTACTCGAATTTTTTCGAGCTCTGAGTAAATTCGAGTTCTAGAGAAAATTCATAGAATTTTCGCATTTATTATATTTAGCAAATAGAAATATTGATTCAGTAATTCAAAAAAATTCGAAATTTTTTACTTATTAATAGTTTTTTTAGTAAGTCAAAAGCTCGAATCCATTCGAGTACTCGAAAAATTCGAGTACTCGAATTCACTCGAGTGCTCGAATTTAATCGAGTACTCGAATTTTTCGAGTACTCGAAGTCACTCGAGTACTCGAAAATTTCGAGTACTCGATACATCGAGCCGGCTCGGGCTCGGCTCGGCTCGGCCCGAAAAAATTTCGGCTCGGCTCGGCTCGACTTTTCGAGCTTTTTGCACATCTCTAATAAATAATAAAAATAGTAAAACAGGGTTGCCACGCAACCTGAAAACCTGGAAATGTCAGGGAATTTTACAAGTAAACTTTAAAAAAACCTGAAAAAATCAGGGGATTTTGATCAAAATCCTGGAAAATTGTTGTCTCAAGTTATTGTGTTTATTCTTGAAATCTAATTTTACGTCAATATTACAAAATTAATTCAATTTTAAGAGAGTTGCGTTCACAATTTTTATAAATATATGAACTTCAAAAGATTTAAATTTAAAATTTTGTAAAATTTCAATTTTAAATCAATTTAATTAGAAATTTTAAAAGACCTAGATTTTTAAAAAAATTTAATAACTAAAATTCTTCTGAGATTAGTTAAATTTTTTAATATATATATATATATATTTAATTGATTATTAAAAAAAAAATAAAATAAAATTTTTTAATAAAAAATAATGGATTTAATAGAAAAATTTTAGTTAATAACACTAAAACAAATTGAATTTTGAAGCAACTACAAATGACTGCAAAAATTCAATTATTTTCAAAAGCAGTAAAATTCTTCTCGTAAAAATTTAATTATTTTCTAAAATTTTAATAAAATTCTTGGCAAAATTTTAATTTTTTTCAAAAATTTTCCCCAATTCAATGATTTTTAATATCTACTATTTTAACAAATTTCCCAAATGAATTCAATTAGTTAAAAAAAATGTTAATAAAATTGTACGCAAACATTTCATTATTTTCATAAATAATAAAACTCATCGCAGACTTTCAATTATTTTTAATACAATTTTAATGAAGTTCCTCGAAAAATGTAATTATTCTTAAAAATTATATTAAAATTTATCCAAGAAATTCAATTATTTTAAAAACCTTTGCTACAATTTATTTATTAGAATTTAATTATTATTTTCAATACAGTTTTAATTAAATTTCTTTAAAAAATTAAATTATTTTAAAAAATTTTAATGAAATTCTTTGTAACAATTCAATTTTTTTCAAAATAATTTTAATAAAATTCTTCATAGAAATTTAATTAATTTAAAAAATTTGTCAAAATTCAATTATTTTCAATGTCTACTATTTCAATAAAATTTCACAAAAGATTTCAGTTATTTAAAAAGAAATTTTAATAAAATTCGTCTCAAGAATCTAATTATTTTCAAAAATTATATAATTCTTCGCAGAAATTCAATTATGTTCAAAAATTTACAAAAATTCTCGTCAAAATTTCAATTATCTTTATAAATATATAATAAAATTTTTTTCCGAAATTCAATTATTTTAAAAAATTTTAATAAAATTCTTGTCAGAATTTCAATTATTTTTAATACAATTTTCATCAAATTTCTTGAAAAATAAAATTATTCTTAAAAATTTTATTAAAATCTGTCAAGAGAATTCAATTATTAAAAAATTTGTGGATAAAATTCTTTATAAAAATTCAATTTTAAGAAAACATTCAATATAATAAAATATTTATTTTTGTATTTAAAATTTAAATAATTGAATTTTCGTAGAATTTTCTAATAAATATTGATTTAAAAATGAATTTCAGTTAAAATTTTAAGGTCTGTAATTATTATATGCTATTGAATTTGAAATTTTTGAAAATATTAATTCCTGTGGCAAAATAATGATTAAATTTTTATTTAAAAATGAAGTTATATTTAATGTTTTCGAATAATTGTACTTTTGCAGGGTGGCCACTGACCGGGAAAACCGGGAATTAGCTAAATCTATTATATAAAGACACTAAAAAACGTGTTTTTGAAGGTTTTCAGTATTTTTTTTTCATTAACCTGACGTGCTAGAAACTTCTGCATAGTCTTAAATTAAGGGAAAATACTCATGAGAAAAAAATTTTTCTTCGAATTTTTTTTTCTTGCTTTTTTAAAATCCTTAATATCTCTAGAATAAAAGTTTTAAATTTTATGACGAAATTTAACTCCTATCAAAAGTTATAGTAAATCACACTACCGTCAGAGTGGCTCCACGCGCATGGCCCAAAAACATACCAATCTTTAAAGCATAATATTCCTGAAAAAAATAATGTAAGAAACTTGAGAAATCTACCGTTAGAAAGCTTATAATATTCAATGTTAAAAAATATACAATTCGAAATTTTAAGAAATTACACACAGATTTTAACAATCGATAAATTTGAAAAAGAAAATTAAAAAATTAAAGTTTTTTTGACAATTTTTTAAACTCTGGCATATTTTTTAAAAATTGTAGACAAAATTTAAAACTTATATAGATGTGATCCTTTAAGTCTTATCTTTAATTTAAGACCAAAAACGTTAAAAAATCTTATTCTGTTCGCGAGATATCATTATAAATATCAGTTCATGTTTTTGGACAAATACATTGAATTACTCAATTTTGTATGGTTTTTGATAATAAAAAGGCTCGCGACGAACATGAAAAGGCTTATCAGGAAGCTTATAACTTACTTTATTGACCTAGGATAGCAAATTAAAATTTGGTAAGCTCTTATAAAAACCAATTAACAATAAATCTGAAAAAATCGTACTTAAATTTCAACTGCGTTTTTCTCAAAACGCTGTTTTTAAATCGGTTGCAGGGATTCTGAGTAAACGGATGAATGTTTCTTTCTAATTTTTTTGCATATTGTTAAAAAATATATTCTTTAGTGGGTATACCTAAAAAATTTGAAAAAGAAAATTTTTTAATACTTTTTTTAATAAAAACTGTGGAGAAAAAAAGGTAATTTTTCAATTTTTTTGTTAAAAGTAGTGTCATTTTTTTAAATTTTGATTTTTTAAGGTAATTTTAGGTTATCCACTAGATTAGTATCTCAACTGTAAAAGTTCTTTTGGGTTTTTATTTTAGATCACTGGGAACGGCCCTAGACCTGCAACCGCGGAACGTCTCAAAATAAAAGCATCGATTTTGACGCTCTCTACAGCCTAACATAATATAAAAAATATAATTTTTTTATTGTTTTTAATACTTTAAATTATACTTTTTATTATGCAAAAAGGCTTTTTAACTTTTATAATAAAATAAGCGAGAAAAAAAATTTTGAATTTTGACATATTTTGCACACTTCTTATGAGGGATTTTCCTTAAAGCTTAAATCCTACACTACAAGACCCACGACAAAAATTACGAATCCAATGTCAGATTTTCAAAATTCAAAATGTACCCAATATGACGAACGACTTTTTTGAAAATCGATCCAATTGTCCTAAAACTTGTTAGTCGGGTATGGCATTAAAAGAATGGATGATTGTGAATAAACGGCCCTCTTCAGGGCCACCAATTACTTTTTACGAAAGAATTTTATTAAGGTCGAAAATAATTTTTTCAAACTTATTCAAATATTATATTATTCTATAATAGTAAATAATAGTATTTTCCCAAAAATCTCAGTAATTGGAGCAATCGCAGTAATTGGCGCGTTTACCCTATATGTAGAGATTTCTAGCGCGTCAGGTTAAAGAGAAAAAAAATACTGAAAACCCTCAAAACACAATTTTTGGAGTCTTTACCACACTTTTCTTCAAATCCTGACGTGATGGGCAATTTTAGGACCCAGGATCTTGTTCAGTCGACAAAACTACATTAGAAACAATTCCGATATCAAAAATAACGAACAAAATTTATTTGGAGTCTGTAACCCTATTTTTTCCAAAATCCTTGGTTTTTTGTGTTTTGCATTGATTCTAAAAATTCACGTTTTAAGCTTTAATTTAAAACCTTGTCAAAATCTCTAGCACGCCAGATTAAAGAGAAAAAAAATGTTGTAAACCCTCAAAAACACTTTTTTGGGCTCTTTACCCCTTACTTTTGTCAATATCCTGAAATGAAGGGCAATTTTAGGACCCGGGATCGTGTTTAGTACACAAAACAACATAAGAAACTAATTTTGCAGGCCTGTGTAACTAACCGGGAAAAAAATATATATTAGCCTGGAAAACCGGGAATTAGCCTGGAATTTTTTTTCTAACTTTTAGTGGCCACCCTGTTTTGAAGAAATTTGTAAATAAATGTAATAGAACATTTTTTTGTGTATCTAATAATTTTGTGAGTGAATCAGAATATTCTTTAGAGTCAGGGAAACAGTCCAAGTTTTGTCTGGAAATCAAAAGTTATTTAATTTAGTAAAATATAAATGCAGTTTTAAAAACCTGGAAAAATTCCGTTTTTAACTTGTAAAAGTCAGCAAATTTGAAATGAGCAAAAGCGTGGCAACCCTGTAAAAATTATAGAGAGAATAATAATTAGTTAAAATAATAATATTTAATAATCGAAATATTAAAATAGTATTCCTTTAGTATTTGTTTTCCATTTTCAGAAATTATGATTCTTTTGAGCAGTGCACTAATGTTGTTTTTGACTTTCTAGATACGACCAGGAGTAAAAGGGAATACGAAGTCGATGGTCGAGATTATTATTTCGCAGCGTCTCGAGAACAAATGGAGAGGGATATTCAAAATCATCTATTTATTGAAGCAGGACAGTATAACGATAATCTTTACGGAACGTCAGTCGCTTCTGTTCGAGAAGTCGCAGAAAAGGTAGAATTCACTTTTTCTTGTTTTTTTATTCTAATTTTATAAATTTATTTTAAAAACTTTCCATAATTTCATTTTTCGACATTTTATAATTTTATATTAATTAAATAAATGGAATTTGTTTCAGGGTAAACACTGTATTCTTGATGTAAGCGGAAATGCCATCAAGAGGTTACACATTGCACAAATTTATCCAATCGCCATTCTTATTAAGCCAAAATCTGTAGAATCTGTTATGTAAGTTTATTCACAAATTCGATAGTTTTAATATTTATTATTAGTTAATAATTAATAATTAACTTCATTACTTAATTGTTTTATTTCACTTGTCGATTTTATTTGCAGGGAAATGAATAAGAGAATGACTGAGGATAAAGCGAAAAAAGACTACGAATTAACACTCAAAATGGAACAGGAATTTGGAGAATATTTAACTGGTAACGAAATATAAATTTTATTTATTCTTTTGAGATTTTTTTTATTTATTCTTTTTATTCTTTTTTTGAGATTTTTATTTTTTTATTCTTTTAAAGTTATTATTCATTTTAAATGAACTTTTAAATGAAGGCCATAAAAAGCAGGGAACAGTCAGGGAAATTAATCAAAAGTATTCAAAAAATATTTAATTGCAAATTTTTTTAAATAATAGAAATTTAGTAAAATTGAGTTGTAAACAAATGGATTTTAGAATTATTTTAGATGAACTTTCTCAAACATTATTTTTATGTGCAATAATTACAAATTTACAAATAGAATAACACAATAGAAATGCGATATTTTGTTCGGGATTGTTGAGAAAATTACAAAATTGTTTATTTTCAAATACCAACTTTAATCTTTTGAATAATTTCATATTCGAAATGTTTGAAAATCCATTTATTAACAAATTAATTATTATTTATTTTTTCAAAATTTTAATAAAACTCTTCACAGGAATTCAATTATTTTTAAAAAATTCAATACAATTCCTTAGATTTATTATTTAATTTTTTAATGAAGTTTCTCCAAAGAATTCAAATATATTCAGACAATTGAAAAAAATAGTTCTGAGATATTTAATTATTTCGAAAAATTTAAATAAAATTCTTTTAAAAATTCTATTGTTTAAAAAAATTTTGACAAAATTTTTTACAAGATTTAGTTAATAAACTTGCAATTTTAGTAAAATTTTCCTATACAATTCAATTATTTCCAATACAATTCTTCTTGAGAATTCAATTATTTAAAAAAAATTTTGAATAAAATTCTTCGCTAGAAATCAATTATTTTTATAAATTATAATAAAATTTTTCTTGAGATTTCAATTATTTAAAAAAATTTTGGTAAAATCTTTCATAAATTTGAAAAATTATAATAAAATTGGTCGTAGAATAAAATTATTTTCGTATAATATAACATTCTTCCTAGAAATACAATTATTGTCAAAAATGTTTGTAAGAATCTTCGAAAGAATTCAATTATTTTCGTAAAAAATAAAATTCTTCAAAGGAAATTCAATTATTTATGAAATTTTAATAAAATTCTTTACAAGAATGCAATTCTTTTCAAAAATAAACATTTTCACATTAATTCAATTATTTAAAAAAAAATTTTTTTTAATTATTTTTAATTTATTTTCAATTTTTTAATGAAATTTCTCAATGGAATTTAATTATTTTCAATTAAGGTTTTAAAAAATTCTGAGAAATTCAATTATTTAAAAAAATTTTAATAAAATTCTTCACAAGAAATTAATTATTTTCATGAATAATATTTTTCTCCGGAATTCAATTATTTTTACAAATAAAATTTTTTACGGGAATTCAATTCTTTAAAAATTTTTTTAATAAAATTCGTTGCAGGAATTCAATTATTTTCATAAATAACAAAACTTATCTCAGATAAACTTATTTTGAAAAGGGTTCAAATTAAAAACTTTGAAAATTTGAATTTATAGTTACAATATTCTTATGATATAAAATAATGATTTTATTACTCTGTCATCTTAAATTTATTATAAAACAAGAGTCTTCGACTCGGAGTGGTCGATTTCTTCATGTTTTATAATAATATTCTCATCAGTTATTGAATTTAAGAATCTTAATTCCTATAGAAAAATAATAATGATTAATTAAATATTTATTTGAAAAAGAAGTTATTGATGTTTTTCAGGGTCAGTGAAAAAGTGAAAATTTTGTCTGGAAATTAGGAAAAGTCAGGGAAAAACAAAATTAAAGTTTTGTAACAACCCTGTAAATAGAAAAATAATTTCGTTCATTTGAAGGTTCAAAATTTTAAGTAAATGAAAATAAAAATCAAATTGAAGAAAATGATGATAGAATAAAATAGTAAGAATAGAAACTAAAAGGAAAAATATTTTGCAGCAATTGTCCAAGGAGACACGCCAGAAGATATTTACGTGAAAGTGAAAGAAGTGATCGCGGAACAATCAGGGCCAAACATTTGGGTACCGTGTCGAGATCAACAACTGTGACGTTCTGCCCCCGAGGATCATTCCGATCCCAACGCTTGGACATTACCCCCGAGGAGTCAAAATTAATTGCCCTTAAAATGATACAATTAAATAAGCCCTCTATCGCCTTTTCCCTCAATCTAAGTAGCACAATATGTCCTAAATGAAAAAAAAGACGCGCGTGTGCAAAATCTCGTCAAAGTCTTTGTTCACTGTCACGTCAAATAAAAAGAGAAAAAAAAATTGTCACGACAAACTCGACCGTAAAAGAAGAGTTTAGAAAAAATTCGAAACAAAAAAAAGAACAGTGTATATTGTACAATATCCCCTCGGAAATGCTTAACAATCATTTCTAGACGTAACGAATTTTATTTTTAAGTTATCAATCGGATTTTTAATTCTATTTTATTCTTAAATAGTCTTTAATTATTTTAATTATTGACACATTGTATTCTTTTATACGAATTTTAAAATCTGTCTTCGATTCGCCAAATTTTTTCTTTTGTAGTATACATATACATATTCTTTTATATTTTTGTGCGAAACTGGACGATATTTAAAAAAAATACACAGCATGTACTTAATTGCAATTTAATGCAAACAAGAAATTTATCAACTGGAGGGGAAAATGTAGTTCGATAATAAAAAAAAAAAAAAACAGGAAAATGAAAAAATTCATCTCACGTCGATGATGAGAAAAGAATTTAAGATCGTGACGATTTTAAAATGATCGTGTATGATTATTGTTGAAAATCGAATGTTGTAATTTAACGATCTTTATCAGACCTCACAGGATAAATCCCTAGAGCTAGGATAGCGATATATAATGTTTTGTACAGCTAGATGACTAAGCCAGTATTGGGTTATGTGCAACATTATATAGAGAAATGATGGAAAAAAAGAACACTATTGTAATTTGAATATTACTACTAAATTATTACGATTATTATATAATTGCTATGATAGTAGATAAAATATTACTGTAAATATCTATTGCCTGTAATCAAGATGTAGCGAAGGCGTTTTGAGCGTAAGCCAAGAATGTTATGCGTAGGCCTCGGTTGTATTTCTAGGAAAAAAAGTCATTTTTCAATCATTTTTCTCCAAAGGGGACTTTGGAGAAATATACTTAAGAACGGGCGAAAAATAACTATGCAAAAAAATCGACGATATTTCATTTTTCAATGAATAATTTGTCACTATTTTATAATTATTGTGTCAAAATAATTGTCATTGTTTTGTACTAAATGCCATTATTTTTTAGTAAATAATGTGATGATTAATTTTAACGATTATTTATCAGAAATTAGGAATAGTCCATAATTATTTATTCTTCGATAAATAATTAATATTTATTTTTCAATAAATAGGGAAAAATTGTTTATAAATAAGAAAAGATTTATGAATAGAATATTTATAAATACGAAAAGATTTATGAATAAAATATTTATAAATAAAAGATTTATGAGTAGAATATTTATAAATGAACTATGAATGATTTTCATTATTTATTTTTGAATAAATAATTACGTTGATTATTCGTTATTTTCGAAATATATAATCATGCTTTCTTTTGTTGAGAAATATAGGAGAATCAGAGTAAAATTGCGATCAATTCCGATGGAAGCAGATGAACTGTCATTGTCGGTCGCTGTATCGATGTAATTTAAAAAAAGAGAAAAACAAAAAAGGCTATAAAGATTGAATAGATTTTTAGATATGAACGTTGGTGAAGATGATATGATTTTATTGATGAAGGTGGCGAGATTGTTTGTCGATTTAATTGTAACATATATAAGTGATGATACATACCGGGTAGGAATTATAATTTGTATCTCAGCGGTCTGTGCGCTATAAACAAAAAAAATATATAAATTCGTAGCGTCATTGTACACAGTTGCCTTTTGCGACGTGATTCAAAGTCACGTTGATTCTTGTTTTTTTTCGTTTTTTGTTTTGTGTGCTCTGGATTTTTTTTGTGAGTGGATGCGAAAAGCGTATAGTCACATTGCACACACGTACACACACACTGATAATTTTAATTGTATATGCGATTATTTGTTAGTTATATCGATTATTTTCTATCACTGATCAGATCAAGAAAAGTTTTCTTTTTTTGAGAAAGAATAAATTTAATGAAATTCTTTGAGCGTAAATATTGTTAAAGAATCACGTGTGTGACAAATCTCGGAAAAAAAGGAAAAGAAAATGTGCCTAACATTCAAAGGCTCTCCCCCCAGGATTCAACCGTGGTAAAATATGGTGTGTCTTTCTCCATTCAAAACGAACGTATTAAAGAATGAAAAGAAACTAAAAAGAGAGAAGAAAATCTATTGCAGACACCTATTATACATCTCTATAGTCTATTTAAAGATAAAACTTATGAATTATCAATCTCATGTTCACCTTGTTTCATCGTTTTTAAATAGTTAATAAACGTTTTACCAATTTTAGATCCTTGTGTCTTTTCTTGAACGAGTTTCTCTTTTAGAAATATTGCGAAAAGTTTGTATACAATTTATTTTACTAAATTGATTGCTTACTGAATTTTATTTATTGTGATTGATAACTGAAAATAATTATTAGTTTATTGGTCGAGTTTTTTTATAATTTATTACTGCTAGTAATAAATATTTATTAATATGAAAATTAAAAAAAAAATTTATTTTTAAATATCAACTTTAATTTTTCAATAATTTCAGATTCGATTATTAACTAATTATTTAATTATTACTTCCAAGTTTTTAAATTTAAAAAAACATTCTTTGAAACAATTCAATTCTTTTCAAAAATTGTAATAAAATTCTGTGAAGAATTCAATTATTCACAAAATTTTTTAGTAAACTTCAATAATAAAATTTTTAAAAACAATTATTAACAAACACGATTATTTAAAAAAATTGAAAGAAATTCTTCGTAAAATTCAATTACTTAGGTATGTACTTTCAAAATTTCGATTTATAGTATATTAAGCAACAAGAGGATAAAGGCAGCCATTTCTTTACGGTGATTTTTGTGATACGAGTGGAGGTCGAGGGCGCCCTCGACCTCCACTCGTATCACAAAAATCACCGTAAAGAAATTGTCTGCCTTTATTCTCGTGTTACTTACGATATTTTTTATTCCTAATGCACAAAAGTGGCGATTTCAGATAGCAGACGACAGGGAGTAAAAGTCATTCACTTGTTCGACTTGTATGAAAATGGCGGCCGATTTCTCTAATGGGCAAGAAAAATGCATGTGAACAGCTAATTTTCTTGCCCTTGGGAGAACACGGCCGCCATTTTCATACGGTCGAAGAAATGAATGACTTTCCTCCCTGTCGTCCGCTATCAGAAGGCGCCATTTTTGTGCATGTGGGATAAAAAAATTATTAAAAAAAACTACTTAAAACTATTAATTTTCAAGAAATTTTTTAAAATACTTATAATTTTATTATTTTTGAAAACTAACAAAATTATTATTATTATTATTATTATTATTATTATAATTATTATTATTATCAAAAAAATTTAATAATAATCTTTAAAATAATTCAATTATTATCAAAATTTTGATAAAATTCTTTGAATGAATTCCAATATTTCAAAAATGTTGAGAAGAATTCAATTATTTTTCAGAAATTTTAATAAAATTCAATTCTTTGTAAAATTATATTATTTACTTTTAAAATTTTCAATTTAAATTGTTAAAAAAACTTCATTATTTGAAGAAGAAATTCAAAGAAATTCTGCAAAACAAATCAATTATTTTCAATAATTTAAATAAAATTCTTCGCAAGAATTCAATTATTTTTAAAAATTCCGAATAAAATTCAATAATAAAATTTTTAGTAACAATTATTACCTGAAAAACACGATCATTTTAAAAATTTTTCATAAAAAATTCAATTACTTTGAAAATTTTCAATCACAATTATTAAAAATAGCTACAGTGTAACATATTTTCAAAAACTTAAATTATTCTTCATTAAAATTTAATTATTTTCGAAAACTATTAAAATTTATCAAATAATTCAATAATTCTAAATTTCTAATAACATTTAATGATAAAGTTATTAATTAATAATTATTAACAAAATTCGATTGACATTCGGAATAGAACGATTATTTTAAATATCTTTTAATTATTTGTTATATTACTGAAAGCAGTTACTTTTATTTTATTAAAATTGGTTCATTCATTAAAATTGGAAAATAATCATTTTAAAATTAATACTAATGAAACTTTGCAAAAACTATCAAATTACCACTTAATTCGGTACATAAAACTGGTTTAATTAATTAAATTTCTTTTTATTAAAATGAACTAAGTAATTGAATGTGACGATTAAACTAATTACTTGGTAATTACTGTAACACATTTCAATTTTTTCTTACAAAAAACTTTTATTATCACGAATGATAATTTGGACAGGAAAAAATTAACAGTATTGTAAAAAAAGAATTTAACGCTATTAAGTAATGTCTCGCATTCGATTCGCAGAAAATTTTCCACGTGTTATCGTAAGTGATGATTATAAAAAGCCTTAAGATATTATTATTTACAAACGCTTTGTGTATGTTTACGACAACATTTTTATGTTTCGAATCTAAATCTCTAAATGTGTTTACTGCGTAAATACGTCTTAGAATTAAATTTTTATCGTATTTTATTCTTGAGAATTCTACTTTGTAAAACATTTTTTGTTGCATTTCTATAGTACTATTTATATTTCTTATATAAAAAATGCGAGAAAAAATTGTTTTACAAAGTAAAATTTAACAAAGTTCAATTATTCTAACTATAGAAAAAAATTTTATTATCAAATCCAAATAGAAATTTATGTAAATTTATGAATTAGTGATTAATTTAATTAATTCAGATGTAAACCCGAAAGGCATGATCTATGTATAATAAATATTTAGATTAATTAACTCATAGTTTTATGAAATATTTTTCTTTCTTTTCTTCTTTATATTAAATAATTAAATCAATAATTCTTTTATTTTAAATAATTAAAGAAATTCAATTTCTAATTAATAATTTGATAATAAAATGGAAATTAATTATTAGTCACTGTACATATTTACAAGGATGAATTTTTCTAAATAGAATTTAATAATTAATTTCTATTAGCTTTGACTTGCTTCTGCTTGTGAAGTTACTTCCCTGCAGCGTAATGTTGCAGCTTCAATTGCTCCAATTAATGCGGATCTCAAGCCATGTTTCTCAAGATAATGAACAGCTGTTATTGTTGAACCTATAAAAGCAACAATGAATTTGCGGCTTAATTAAAATTAGTTAAGATAAATGAAAACTGAGAAGACGTATATTAAATTACAACTTCTCTTCTTTCTTCGAGAAAACTGTTCTAAATACCTGCGGGAGATGTGACGTCATCTTTAAGTTGTCCCGGATGAGTATTTGTTTCTCGTACCATTACACCGGCTCCAAGAACAGTTTGGGCAGCTAATTTGTAAGCTAGGGGCCTCATCATGCCCATTTTTACTGCTCCATCAGCGAGAGCTTCAATTACCATGTAGATCTTTAAATAAAATATATGAAGAAGAGAATTTTAGAAACGAAACATATTTTTAATTTTTTGCTAATCAAGATTCGCGGTACAGAATCGCCGCCATGTAAAAACAGCGAATTTTTTTATATAAAATCGAATAACTCAATTAAATCTGAACCGATTTTGTTCAATTTTTTGTGTTGGTTAAAAATTAAAAAAAGAAAGACATCTGTTAAGTATATTCAATGTTTTTGATACTCTTATAGAATTTAAGCAAAGAATACTGAAAAAATGCGATTTTCTAATAATTAGACAGGCGTAGAACCTAAAGTACTAAACGGATTTGTAAAATAATCTGGAATATTATTAGTTGTGCTTAAATTATGATATTGTGAGGGCATAGATTATTATTTCGTAAACTTACTTTGAGTGTAGAATCCTATTTAACTATTTCTTAGTAAAATAATTTTTATATTTTATTAAGAGATAATTAATCAAAATGTCTCAAAATTGAATTAGATTGTAAAATATTATTTAAAATAATTGCCTTGAGGGTCAGGACATACTAATATAATATTTTTGAAGTGTAGAGAAAAAGTTTTTCTACAGAGAAATTAATGAAAGAATTATAATTTTCTATAAATTATTTTTTACAACAACACATTTTTACGTCTTTTGCAAATAATTATTTGAACAAATTTATTTCAATGTTAAAATGACGCAAAAAGTTTTGCAATTCCGAGAAAAAACATTTACGATGCAAAAAGTTTCACTATATAAGTAAAATTTTTTGCTAAATAATTTGTGAAATAAAAGTTCCTCAAGTAAAATTTATAACTAAATATTGATTTATTTTATAAGGGTTGCTACAAATCAGGGAAGTCAGACAATTCAGGGAAAAGTCAGGGATTTTTATTAATAATACTGGAAAAAATTAAATTTTTGGAATTCATAAGAAACTTCTGAATTTTAACGTCTTTTTGTCTTTTTTGCCTCATAAACTATTAAATTATCACGAATTTTAATACTATGAGCAAAAGTAAATCGCAGGTCATGATTAATTAATTTAAAAGGAATAAAACTGGTAAAACGTATTTATTAGAACGAGTTAATTAAAAGTTATACACGATTTATGTGCTGCTTATGAAAGACAGAAAAGATCTGATTGAGAAATAAAAGACGCTAGAATATATTCACACGAATATATAAACAGATCAGAACAAAAGTTTAGAAAGTGAACCCGCGTATTGTAAAACATTTTTGATTTCCAACAAATACAAAACCTTCAATTTTTTATTCTATTTCTAACAAAATTTCTTTTTAAATAACTTAATTCCTGAGAAGAACTATCATAAAATTATTACTTAGAAATTATTTAATGAATAATTTTACTTAAATATTTCACAATTAATTCAATTTTAAAAGAGTTGCGTTTAAAATTTCCATAAATTGATGAACTTCAAAAAGTTTTGATTTGAAGTTTTATCAAATTTCAATTTTATATGAATTTAAATAGAAATTTTAAAGAACTTAGATTTTTGAAAAATTTTTTAAATTTAAATTCTTCTGAAGTTTGTTAAATTTTTTAAAACAATTAATTAATTATCAAAAATAATGGATTTATAGAAGAATTTTAGATAAAAACAATTTAAAAAGTTGAATTTTTGAGAAGTTACAAATGATTGTAGAAATTCAATTATTTTCAAAAGTAATAAAATTCTTTGCAAAAATTAAATTATGTTCAAAAATTAGAAAAGTTTCTCGTAAAAATTTCAATTATCTATTATTTTCAAAAAATTATAATAAAATTCTTGGCAAACTTTCAATTATTTTCCTCAATGCAATCATTTTCAATATCTACTATTTTAATAAAATTTTCCAAAAAAATTCAATTGTTTAAAAAAAAGTTTAATAATTAATTATTCGTAATACAATTTTAATCGCATTCGTCGAAAAATTTAATTATACTTAAAAATGTTATTAAAATTCATCGAAAGAATTCAATTATTTAAAAATTTGTTAATAAATTCTTTATGAGAATACAAGTTTAAGAAACATTCAATTAGTCAATAAATTATTTATTTTTGTATTTAAATAATTGAATTCTCGTAGAATTTTCTAATAAAATTAAATTTAAAAATGAATTTCAAGTAAAATTATTTAGATAATAATTGAATATTAAAAGCAGAGCATGAATTTCTAGAAATGATTGAATATTGAAAAGGTTTCAAATTAAAATCTTTGAAAATCTGAATTTTTCATACTTTTAACTAACAATTCTGTAGAATTAATTTTTTTGAAAAAGTTTAATTGAATTTTTGTTAAAATCATTTGAAGTTTTTATTTTCTAATAATAATAATTGAAGAATTTCCGAATAATCGAAATTTCGTAAAATTGAATTATAAATAAATGGATTTGAAAATTCACAAAGAACTTTTTAAAAAATTATTAAAAATAATTGATTTAAAAAATAAAGTTCAAAATGGTAAAAAATAATAATTAAATTGAAATGAAAAAAAAATATTTTGAAGAAGTTACAGCAACAATATTCTTATAATACAAAATAATGATTTTATCACTCGGTCATTTTTAATTATTATAAAATATGAAGAAAAATCAATCACTGTTCGACTCGGATCTTTATCTTTATGTTTAATAATAATATTTTTATAAGTTGTTGAATTTCAAAAAGGTTTGAATATAAAATTTTTGATAATATTAATTCGTATTGAAGAATAATAATGATTAAATATTTATTTAAAAATGAATTTATTGATGTTTTCGAATAATTTAACTATGAATGAAATTCGTAAATAAATATAATAGGACATTTTCTTTTAGTATCTAATAATTTTTAGAGTGAATCAGAGTATTCTTTAGGGTCTAGGAAAAAGTCAAAATTTTGTCTGGAAATCAGGGAAAAACAAAATTAAATTTTAGTGGCAACCCTGTTTATTAATGATCAACATTAGCAATTAATGAAGTTCAATTTTTTGTCTAAATTAATAAAAAATTCCGATTTCAGGCAATTTTAAAACCTTGGCGTCAATACTTTCATCAAATACAAGTTAGAAATAATTATTGATGCCAAGCTTTTAAAATTGTCTAAAATGAGGGTTTTTATTTAGAGAAAAAATTGATTTTCATTAATTTCTTATGTTAATCATTATAGTCTATTTCATATTTGTCAGAATTAAAAATATAATATGAAACATCAATACGGAAATCTAATTAGTCATATCAATAAAATCAATCAATATCTAGTTATAAATTTTACTTGGTGGAACTTTTTGCATCGAAGATGTTTTTGTTGGGATATTTCTTTTTGGAAATTTTCCAATTTTTCTATTTCAAAGTGCTTACATATGCAGGTCCAGATCCAGCCAAGGCTGTGACAGGATCAATCATATTTTCCGAAACCTCTTCACAAAAGCCAACAGCGGAAAATAATTTTTCAGTCAACTGGGCATCTTTTTCGCTTGCATTCCTTCCGCGGGAGTAAACAGTCGCCCCGCAACCTACCAAAGCCGGTGTATTTGGCATTACTCTGATAACTGGAGTTCCTTCCGGAAGGCCCTTGAAAAAAGTCAATCATTTTAAAAAATCAACTCAAAATCAATTTAAAAAATTTTTTTCAATATTTTTATAATCTTCAAATCCAGAAAAATTTTCTTTTAATTTGTAAAAGTAAACAAACAGAATGACAATTTCAATTTACCTTCTCCAATGTTTTGAGACTAATTCCCATAGCGATGGATAATAATAATTTTTTATTTGATTTTATTTCCGGTAAAACCTTGTGAACCACTTGTGGTTTCACTGATAAAATTAAAACATCTCCATGATCAGCTACGGAACTATTTGAAAATACTGTGCTAGACCCTAATTCCTGTGTGAATGAAAAGAAGATATTTATTAAAATTAAAATTAAATTTCCTCTAAATAAAAATTAAAAATGAATTAAATTAATTGATTTGATCATTAAATTTATTGAAAAGTACTTGATAATCTGGAACTGCAAAAAAAAAAAAGAAAAAAAAAGTCAGAGAAAATAAAGTTATTCTTAGAATAATTAGAGTATGATAAATTTTTTTTAGCAATCTAAAAAAAGAATTGTCATGGATCTAAATGAATTTTTAACTAAATAATATTGTAATCACTTGAGAAAATTTTCCGTAGATTGTAATGCCTTGGAATCAAGTAATTTCTTATCGCTCAATACTTATGTGATCTGTACAATAAAAATAATACAGATTGAACAACAAATTATAATTACTTAAAGCATTTACAAAATAGTTAATGATTATTTTCTTTCATTATTATTCTTTTAAATTATTATACAATTGAATTATTTGATTCAAATATTTTCCAATCGAATTATTTATTATTGCTAATTAATTTACAATTTTATTAATTTTATTATTATTCAACTGAATTATTTTATATTTAAATATTATTTAATTCAATTATTTAATTTAATTATTATTATGCAACTGAAGTATTTAGTTTCAAAAATGATTCAATTTAAGTAGCTTCACTTTTATTCAAGTGAATTATTCAGCTTTAAAAATTACCTATTCATTTCAATTATTTAATTTTACGAAATATTATAATTTGAAAAATAATTAATTATGAAAAATATTCATTTTTCAAATAATTCTTTCTTTTTTAATATTTATATAATTATATATAAAAAAAACAAACCTGAAAAGCTCCAATACTTCCTGAGTCACTAGGAAGACAACTCGCTGTAATTTTTTCCCCTTTACTTAGACCTGAAAGTAGGAAATATTACAATAATGTTATTTAAATAAATATTATTATTATGCAAACAAAAAATTTTTTTATTTTCAAATATAAATTTTTTAAAATAATTTCATAATCAAAATTTTAAAAAAATTTACATATTAAGTACATAACACTGGGTTACAAAAAATGGTCATGTCGTGTTTATTTAAAATTTACTGTGTTTATTGAAAGTTTAGGTGTCACTGAATAAGAATATACCAGAAAAACTTTTTTTCATTCGGTCATTCCCTTAAAAAACGAGTTTAAAGTCTCAAAAAACCGTATTTTTAGCACTTTTTGAGGTAGCGTAACAAGAAAACGCAACATGATAAAAATCTCTACAAAAGCTTAAACAAAAGCTTAAACCTTCAACTTTAAGGCTCAGAACTGAAAAGTACTTAAATAAGCACTGAAAACCTGCAGTCGCTATTTGAAATTATCAAAAAAGCTGGGTTAAGTAGCACTTGGTAAAAATCGATTCATCTAACCGGATTCGGTTGCAAATTGTTACTTGAGGTTTCTAATGACGAATTGGAACTTAGATTTAAAAATTTCAAAATGGTAGACTCAATTTTTTAAAATTATCAACGCAAATTTTGAAAAATTAAGTGAACTCATTATTTTCAGTCTGCCATTTTGAAATTTTTAAATCTAAGTTCCAATTCGTCATTAGAAACCTCAAAAAACCTCAAGTAACAAGTTGAAACCGAATCCGGTTAGGGAAATCGATTTTTACCAATTGCTTCCTGTTCTAGCTTTTTTTGACAATTTTATGTAGCGACTGCTTGATTAAGGAGGTTTTCATTGATTATTTAAGTACTTTTCAGTTCTGAGCCTTAAAGTTAAAGGTTTAAGATTTTATTTAAGCTCTTGTAGAGATTTTTATCATGTTGCGTTTTCTTGTTACGCTGCCTCAAAAAGTGCTAAAAATACGGTTTTTTGACACTTTAAACTCGTTTTTTAAGGGAATGACCGAATGAAAAAATGTTTTTCTGGTATATTCTTATTCAGTGACACCTAAACTTTAAATAAATACAGGAAACTTTGACTAAACACGATATGACCATTTTTTTGTAACCCAGTGTAATCAATTATTATTTATATTTTCACAAAAATTTTAATATAATTCTTCGCAAGAATTCAATTATCTTCATAAATTATAAAATTCTTCAAAAGAACTCAATTGTATTTATAAATAGTAAAATTTTTTACAAAAATTAAATTATTTCCAACAAAACTTTAATTAAATTTCACGAAAGAATTCAATTAGAATCTAAAATTTTAATAAATCCTTCAAAACAATTCAATTATTTTTTTTAAATAGTAAAATCTTTGCAAAAATTCAATTATTTTCAATAAAATTTCGTGAAAGAATTCAATTTTTTTCTAAATTCATTATAAAATTTTACAAAAGAATTCAATTATTTTTATGAATAATAAAATTCTTCTCAGGAATTCAATTCTTTTCAATGCAATTTTAATAAACTTCAATAATGAAATATTTAATTATAATTATTGACAAAAAGACTATTTTGAAAAGTTGAAAAAATTTTTTTTGTTTAATACATTATTTTCAAAATTTTCAATTAAAATATTATTCAAAAAGTACATTATTTTCAAAAAAACTTAAAGAAATTCTTCAAAAGAATTTAATTATTTACAAAAACCCTAATAAAATTGTTTAAAAGAGTTTAATTTTCTATCAATAATTTAAATAAAATTTTAATAGTAAAATTATTAATTACGATTATTAACAAAATCGATTATATTTAATAAATTAAAGATATTTTTTGAAAGAATTTAATTATTTTCTATATTTTAATTAAATTTCCTTGACTGAATTAAATTATTTCAGAAAATTGTTATAAAATTCTAAAAAAAATTAAATTATTTTCTAAAAATTATTACCTATTATTATTAGGATTTTCAAAAATATTTATAAAATTCTTCGCAAGAATTAAATTATTTCCAATACATTAATTTTAAAATTGAAAATACTTAAAAAGAAGAATTATTAAAAAAAGTTAAGAAACAAACAAGCAAACAACAACTAACCGAACTATGAACAGATTACCAGAATACAACGATTATTAGTATAGATTATTGAAAAATTTCCATACAATTGAAATTCGGTAAAATATTTTAAAAATAATTGATTGGTAGAAAAGTATAAATAAATTCAAATTTTTGTATAATTTTAAAAAACTAATCAATTTTTTCAAGAATTTCACAAAGTTTAAACATTTTTGTTAAAATTTCCAAATTTTGTTCCAAAATGTAAAAAATAATTAAACAAAATTGTAATGTTATTATTTTATGTCCCTATGCATTTGAATTTTCAGAAATGTGTCATTGAATATTTTGAAAATAATTGAATTTCAAAAAATTGAATGAGAAAAAATTCTAAGAATTACTTTTTTCAAAAATATTTTAATATAATTTTTCAAAGCTAATTTTCATTAATTTTTTTTTAAATTTACACTCACTTGAAGATTTTTTATTAAATTTTTTGAAAATTCATTTATTTTCAAAAATTGCAATTAAAATTCTTCAAAAGTTTATTTTTATAAATTATAATAAATAAATTATTTTCAATTGAATTTTACAAAATTTCAATTATTTCAAAAAATTTTTATTTTAGGTATATTTTAAATATTTAACTATCTTTCAAAATTATTCAAAAATAATTTTTGCAAAATAATTTTCTATAATTATTTTTCACACTATAAAAATGGAAATAAGTTTCATTTTATACTAGAAATATAGTGTTTTGTAGCAATATTTGGAAGAAAAGTCGAATAGTGCGCAAATTTTGAAAAAAGTCGAAAAGGTCATAATATCCGAGGCCTGTTTTTACTATTATTATTTATTGTGACTTATTTATTGACATAATTTATGAACTTGACTATTATTATTATTATTTGACTTATTTAGTTTTTTTATTAAAAAATTATTCACATTTGTAATATGAATTCAAAAAAATTTACCAGCATTTATGAATCCTTTGGCTAAGGCCTGTGCCATTTTTCCGCCACCAAGAAAACCAATTTTCAACATATTGGTATCGATATCCAATTGTATTCTCTTCTTTTGTTCTTCAATATCCGCCAAAAGTCTGTCACTAACTATAACACATTTTCAATATCCATTATTAGAATTTAATTAATGAATTTTTATCACAGTTATAAATAGAAATTTCTTCCTATATAGACTGTAAAAACATATTTACAGTTCTCTTAATCACAAACAATAAATACTAAATCAATAAAAAAAGTATACTTTACTTTATTGGTTCATAAAATTTATTTATAAATTATAGAATCAATAATATTTCAATTAACCTTTCTTTTATTTCTCTACTTGATAATACAAATATCACCAGAAGAAAACTATAAACAATTTTTCTTTCTTACTTTATTTTTAATTCTTTTTAAATTAAAATAATTAATTAAATTTGATATTAAAATTGTTCAATGAATTTTAATTAACGGTACATAAATTTTGCTTTAAAGAGAAATTCATTTCTCGTTACCATTCACGAGAAAACGAGACTAAAACTCAAACTCAGATGGGATTCGCAATCTCGTCTGGACCATATCGTCCAGTGAGAAGAATTCTTCTGTTTACAACACATTTTCATTCTATTATTATCTGCAATAACAAAAAAAAATATTTTATCTAATCAGAATTAGTTGATTTTTTCTTATTTTTGCAATTTCTAGAATAACAAGGATATTTCTTTAAGTGGTAATTTCTTCTCTTTTTTAAATTCTCATCACATGAGAAAGTATAATAATATTAATAATAACAATAGTAACAAAAATAATAGAAATTATATTTTGTTTATTATAGTAATTATAATATTATTATAGCCCTTATAATTATTTATTTACCTGAATATAAAAAACGGTTTAACTTCAACACATAATTAATTTGAAAACCGAGTGATGGAATCATTATTATTATTATTCAAAACAAATAATAATAAATATTATTATTATTATTATTATTATTATTATTTTATATTGAGTATATAACTAATATCTAATGTATAAATAAATTATAAAAAAAGTAAAGTAATTTTTTTATCGAGAGCGAGTTTTCAATTCCTCTTTTCAACCGCACGATTTTTTTTAGAGATACGCAAAAATTGAACAATGGGAAAAAAGGTTGAAAATCGTGCATTATTTATCACTTGTTTATCAGACAATATAGATTATTTGTTTACTGATATATAGATTGGTGCGAATGACATTTAAATTATCTATTACAATATAAGCTTGTTTACGAGTATACATTTGTGATAATTTTTTTTGTTTCGTAGTTCCCACCAGAAAAAGTTTCTACTAAATTAAAAATATTATGTGACATTAAATTAGAAAAAAGTATTTTACACACATTAAAAATCTATTTATATAAAACTGTTGCATTGATATTTGTTTTTGTTTATGAGAAAATAGATTTTATATTATTACATGAAAATAATAAAACAAAAAGAATATGAAAATGGACTTTAAACTATATATCATCATTGAACAATACAACTTATTTATCTTTTATCACACAATTGCACCATAAATTTATAAATCTTTAAGATTATAAGGTATTTATGTGTTTTAAAATTGAATCTGTTTTTAATTTTATTTCTATTATTGGTTAATATTATATAATTTCTATTATTTATTCTTTCAAATTTAATGTCATGAATAAGAAATTTTTTGTAAATTCAATTTTTTATAGTAAATTTTGTAAATTCAATTTTTCCAGTATTTAATTTTTTTATGGTAAATTTTATAAATTTAATTTTTTTATAGTAAATTTATGGTAAATGTAATTTTTATCAAGTTGATTTCTTTTTTTTTTACTTATTTATAGATTTATTTTACTTTTAAGGTTCAAAATTATTGTGATTTGAAACTAAGTGCAAAAAAAAAATGCAACAACTTTTATTACTCACCATTTCGTTCGTTCAAACGTTTACGAAGTGTTTGGGTTATCTTATTTGTTAACCCCATTGTTTTTCTTAGACCCACAGTCATCTTTGAATGATTTCTTCACCTTAAAAAACAATTTCAATTATTAATAAATCAATATATGTAAATTACTATTGTTTTCATACAATTATTTCTTACTCTTGCTTTTATTATTTAGTTTTTTACTCTATGTAATTATTTACTCTAGTTTTACTTTTGCCTTTTTATTATTTTTTACTATTTGTTTTTTCCTCTTGTTTTGTTAAATTAGTTTTTTATTGTATTGTTAATAATTAATAACTATTATTTTTTTTTCTTATAAAAATATATATATTTTTTATTTATTTTCCTAAAGTTTTGAACGAAATTTATTTTCTATTTAAATATTTTTAAGGAAGGAACTGTAAAAAAAAGAAAAATAATTAAGGAAAAGTAGAAAAAAATCGCGGTTCATTTGAAAGTTAAAAACTTTAGGAACATTTTTTAATTTGCGCAGAACAATTTTATACCTTTTATAAACTGTATAATAATAAATAGTATTTATTTATTTTTTTAATTAATGCCTCGTTTATATACTAAATAAGGAAATGGATTTTAATAGTAAAAAATAAAACAAAATTCGAAATTGGTTCCTGTTTGAGAAACACTTTTTGTTAACTTTGATAATAGCATTGATAACATTTGATCAATGAGCATCAAAATCTTACTGATGAGTTTTGTGTACGAGACGTGTATAAATACCTGTTCCAGTCACGATTATTGACTATCTTGATATTCAAATATTGTAAATAATTTCCCTTATCTCTCTGGCGCCATTAAATGATAAAAAAGCCGCTTTGTAAAGCTTATTGTCAAGATTTACATTTGAAGGTGCATGAGTTGAGGATGGTCAAGTGTAGTTGAATCTTCCCGAACATGTGACTGAAATTTCATAATAATTTATCAATTCGCAATTCACGAGACTTCAAACCTATCTAATATTGATTTATTGTTAATTAAAAATAGCACTTCAATTTTCAATAATAAATATACATATAATATCAATATTTAGCTTTCCCGCTGCAATAATTTTCTTTTATTCAATATTTATATTTACTTCCTCTAAAGCTTTTATTATTATTCAGGGTTGACACAAAAATTTAATTTTGTTTTTCCCTATTTTCTAAAAAAAATTTTGACTTTTTCCCTGAACCTAAAGAAAATTCTGATTCAGTCTAAAAATGATTAGATATCTATTCAAAAAATATTGTCTATTACATTTATTTACGAATTTCTTTAATTGTAAAATTACTCCAAAACATCAATAACTTTATATTTACATAAATAAATGTTTAATAATTATTATTTTTCCATGGGAATTTATATTTTCAAAAACTTCAAACTCAAACCTTTTTGAAATTTAACAACTTATAAGAATATTATTACAAAACGTGAAGAATGACCGAATCATTATTTTATATTATAAGAATATAGTTACATTTACTTCTGCAAAATTATGTTTACCATTTCAATTCAATTATTATTTTTTCTAGAATTTTTAAATAAAATTCTTCTTTAAATCAATTATTTTTTAATAATTTTTGAAAAAATTCTTTGAGAATTTACAAATACAATTTTACGCGATTATTCGAAAATTCTTCAATTAAAATATATGTTAGAAAATAAAAACTTCAAATAATTCAAATAATTTCAACAAAAATTCAATTACACTTTTTCAAAAAAATTAATTCTACAGAATTTTTAATTAAAAGTATGAAAAATTCAGATTTTCAAAAATTATAATTTGAAATCTTTTCAAAATTCAATAATTGTTTATCTATAAATTCACGCTGTAATGCTTTTAACCCCTTCAGTGTGTAGCTAAAATATAACAAAATGGTCCCAAAATGTTTAAGACCTTCTTGTGAATAAATTTTCATAACACTAGGTACTAAGAAGTTTTTGGGATCGCTGATTACGATTCCAGTGTTAGTTTTTTAAAATTCAAAATGGCGGACACGAATTTGAAAAATTAATTGGATTCGCTTAAAATTCGTTACTCGGGGGTTTTCGTGGTCGCTGATTACGAATATGACATTAGTTTTTTAAAATTCAAAATGGCGGATCCAAAATGGCGGACACGAATTTGAAAAATTAATTGGATTCGCTTAAAATTCGTTACTCGGGGGTTTTCGTGGTCGCTGATTACGAATATGACATTAGTTTTTTAAAATTCAAAATGGCGGACACGAATTTGAAAAATTAATTGGATTCGCTTAAAATTCGTTACTCGGGGGATTTCGTGGTCGCTAATTACGAATCTGTTATTAGTTTTTCAAAGTTTAAATGGTAAGAATTTTTAAAAGAATTTATCCATTTTTGAAATTTTTCAAAATTTTTGGCTGACATTTTAGATGAAAAATTATGTATTTTGAAAATCTGACTTCAGAATCGTGATCAGTGACCCCAAAAACCCCCGAGTAAGAATTTTTGCGAATATACGTTAAGATGTTTTCTTTTTTGGGCCATGACGTGTATACACGTCATCCACTATTTAGGCCAGTTTTTTTTATGACATACACGTCATCCACAGTCAAGGGGTTAATATTCAATATTATTATCTACAATTTTGACTGAAATTTAATTTTAAATCAATTTTTATTAGAAAATTCTACGGGAATTCAATTATTCAATTATAAACAAGTTGTAAATCCAGATGTTCATTACATGAACATTTTGCTTCCTCTTTACGATCAGCAAAAAAATTTGCTTCCTCGTGGAGGAAGCATTAACGACAAATATATTTAATTTTTAAATCATTTTTTATACAATTCATTATTTATAAAATAAAGTTCATTCGTCTTAATAGAAAGAATATTTATTTATTGGTTTATACACCTGTCTTCAGCCTTACATACTTGGCTATACAAGTGTTTCTCTTACAATTTCACTTTACAAATATTTCTTATTATACATTTCCTAATACTAAGTTTTGCGTCTACAGCCGACTTTATTAGGAGTACTCGCATTACGCCTGGACCACCCGTCAATGGGTTTTCTCGCCAGAGAAGAGGGAAACTGTAGAAAACCTCTCTGAGTACAACCGGTTTATCGACAGTCGAGTTCTAATGGTGTGTACCGGACAATAATCGACGGTGCACATCATTATACCTCGACGTCAAACCTCCCGCTCAGATTATCTCACGTGCCGGAAAAATACCAAGCCAAATGGGCGCGAACCAAGGGTACTTATACCCTTGGTCCTTAAGGCGCTCTCACAGCTAGTAGACAGCATACAAATTTGAATTTACTGTCTCTTTCACTCTAATTGATTTTCTCTCTTACTCCAATTACTGCCTGCGCAGGCAGGCAGAGCTGTGAGAGCTCCATTAAACGACCGCCAAGCGAGGCATCCATCCGACTGAGCTAATCTGTCGGTAATAGAAAGAATATAATTTGCTTATACAGTAATATGAATCTAAATAAACAAACAAATTTTTAGTAAAAAAGTGAATTTTTCAACTTTAATTGTAATTAATTCTATAATTTTCAATAGAATGTATACTTTATATATATAGCAATCGATCCGTCTTGGTGCAAAGAATAAGATTTTAGAAATATATAAGTAAGATTTTCTTATACGGCAACATAATTTTGCGAAAAGAACTCATTTTTTGATAAAAATGCGTATTTTTCAGCTTTAATTGTGATTAACTCTGTAAATTCTCATACAATTTATACTTTTTATATACCAATCGATTCGTCTTGATGCAAAGAATAAGATTTTATTATATATTAAAAAACTTCAATAACCAACTTAAAAAAATTTTTGTTAGAAAAAAGTCAAAAAAATTTCTTTTTTTGAGAATTTTTTAAAGTCTATCAATCCATTTCGAGATATTTTTATGATAAATACACCTGGTAAATTTTAGCCAAATTCGTTAAAACCTCTTCGAGTTATCGTGTTCACAAAAATCGGGATCCACACACACACATCCGGACAATTTATTATTATTATTGAATAATTTAATATTTCTTAAAATTGAATTCTCATAAAGAAGTTTATCAACAAATTTTTAAATAATTGAATTCTTTTGGTGAATTTTAATATAATTTTTAAAAATAATTTTATTTTTTGAGGAATTCGATTAAAATTATATTAAAAATAATTAAAATTCTGCAATGAGTTTTATTATTCATCAAAATAATTGAATTGAGGCCTTGTTTGTTTGTTTGTTTGTTTTGTTTTAATGGCCTCTTGTATGTACAAATAGCCAGTTCGAAGAATTGAGGCCTTGAATCCAATAACTCGCCCGACGCTCGGAGGAACGCGCAACTGCCAGTCAGTGAGCAGTGAGCGCCTCTGGGCCACTCACTGCTACCCGACTGGTATTAAAAGTTCTCAAAAGTTTCAATAAAATTTTATTTATATTTCAAGTAATTTAAAAATTTTTAATTAAAATTATTTAAAAAAAACTACATTACTTTTAAAAAATTCTTCAAAAAAATTTAATTAGGTATTTTTGAAGATTCTAAAAAAAAAAATAGTTTAAAAGAATTTAATTTCCTATCAATATTTTAATAATATTATTAATTACTATTATTAATACACAGGATTATTTTTAAAATTTTAAATAAATTCTTCATAAAATTCAACTACTTTCAAAATTTTCAATAAAAATTATTTTAAAAAAATTGCATTAATTTCGAAAAATTCAAATAAATTCTTCAAAACAATTAAATTATTTTCAAAAATTTTTAATAACATTCTTTATGAAAAAATTCGATTATTTTCATAAAAAAAATTTCTGGAAATAATTCAATTATTCAAAAAATGAAGTATAATATTTTCTGTTTGAATATAATTTTATTTTAGAAAATTTTAAAAATTTTATATTGTTTTCTTTTGAAAAATGATCTTTTTCTTATTTATTTTTTATTATGAAATCAGAAAAATGAGGATAATAAAGATTTCTTACCAAGTTTTATCAGCAGAAATACTATATAGAGTTTCCTGATTATTCCGCCAGTTGCTCATTGCTGGATTGAAATTTGTCGTCTGCTTGACGTGAGTTCATTTTCATTCACTTGATTCATTATCATTTCCTATAAGGGCGTGGAAAAAGTGTGTTTTTTAAATAAAAATTTAATAAACATTGACAATAAGGTGTAACAAAAATAAAAATATAAATTTTCAATTGGTGTGAATAAATTTTTTCTAATTAATCATGGTAAGTCAAAAAGAAAACAAACTTTTCTTAACTAGAACATTATAGATTATTTTAGAACTTTTCATCCTTACCTTTTTTGGAAATCCAAGATTTTTCCAAACGTTATTCTTTTAAAATCATCCCATCTTTTTACGTATCTAATTTTTTCAATTAAATTATTTTAGTAACTAATGTAAAAAATTAACTAAATTCACAAAAAAATAAATTACTGATGTTTTTAATCCCATTTTTTCAATATCTACCTTTTTCAATGAAATTATTTTAGTAAATTATATAAAAGATAAACCAAAATTGCAAAATAAATAAATTACTGGTATTTTTAATCCCGTTTTTCTAATTTTTTAAATTAATTTAGTAACTAATGCTTTTAATATTCAATTATAATCTAAAATTTTAAATGAAAATCATTTTTAAATCAATTTCTATAAGAAAATTCTACGAGAATTCAATTATTTAAATACAAATATGAGTAATTTATTTAATAATTGAATGTTTCTTAAAATTGAATTCTCATAAAGAAGGCTATCAACAAATTTTTAAATAATTGAATTCTTTTGTTGAATTTTAATATAATTTTTAAGAATAATTCAACAATGAGTTTTATTGTTTATGATAATAATTGAATTTCTAAAAAGAAGTTTATTATTTATGAATATAATTGAATTATTAAAATTTCTATTATTTACGAAAAAATTGAAATTTTGACAATTTTATTAAATTTTTTGAAAATAATCCAATTTTGGAGAAATTTTATTATTTATAAATATAATTAAAATTTTTACAAAAATTCTACGAAACAATTTAATTATTTTCATAAATTGTAAACTTCTACGCAAGAATTACATTATTTTTATAAATAATAAAATTCTTCTGAGGAATTTAATTATTTTCAATGCAATTTTAATAAAATTTCTCGTACGGGTTAAATTAATATTTAAAATTATAATTAAAATTTTTCTAAACAATTCAGTTATTCTGAAAAGTTTCGATAAAATTCTTTTTAAATTTCAATTATTTTCAAAAATTTTCAATTAAAATTATTTAAAAAAATACATTATTTAAAAAAATTCTTTAAAAAAGTTTTAAAAATAAATAATAAATTACTGGCATTGTTAATCCCGTTTTTTTATTTTTAAAATTGATGTAGTAGTATAGCTAATGTAAGAAATGAACTAAATTCAGAAAAAAAACAAATTGCTGATGTTGTTAATTAAATAAGAAAGTAAATTCGAAAAAAATACTATGATTAATTTAAATTTAATTTTAGCAAGATCCAAATGAAGACACTGAGTGGAATGATATTCTCAGACGGAAAGGAATTATTCCCGAGAAGAAGAAAGATGCGGAAATAACGGAGGATCAAATTGTGAATATTTTAGAATCGACAATAGATCAAAAAACAGGACGTGGTAATTTGGAATAATTAAATTTCCTCTAGTAGAGAATAAAAAATTTGATTAATTTATTCCTTTTTTTTACTAATTTTTGTTTTTTACAAATAGAAATCAATAATCTAGAGGAAAAAACGTTAGATGAACTGGATGAACTTGAGGATGAGGAAGACGAAAGAGTTTTACAAGAATATCGACGTAAAAGAATAGCAGAAATGCAGGAAATGGCCAACAAATCAAAATATGGAGAAGTTAGAGAAATTTCCGCTCAAGATTATGTTCAGGAAGTTAATAAAGCTGGCGAAAATATATGGGTCGTTTTGCACTTGTATAAAGCAGGGTGAGTTTTATGTAATTTCAATTATCTACTAATTTCAATTAATTACAATTAATTGTAATTAATTGAAATCAGTTCAGGATGGCAGCAAAATTTGATTTTCAAAAATCCCTCACTTTTCTCTGACACATTCTTCTTTTTCCCTGAATTATAAAATTTAGAACAATTTAAAATTCTGCAAAATTGTTTAAAAGTTGTTTGCTTTTTTGTGTCCTAACTTTTAAAATAATTTTTTTTTATACATTTTCAATTTTAATATTAATGTCATGAAAATCATTGGATTTATAAAAATAATTAAATTGTTTTGAAGAATTTTATGAGAATTTTTTAACATAATTGAATATTTTAAATGAATTTTATTAAAAATTTTAAAAATAATTGTATTCAATCGAAAACTTTGATTAAAACGTTAAAAATAATTCATTATTCTCAAAAATTTTATGAAAACTGTTTTGTAAATAATTCAATTTTGTTTAATATTTTTAAAAATAATTGTATTCTTTCGGGAAATATTATTAAAATTGTATTAAAAATAATTGAATTCTTTCGAAGAATTTTATCAGAATTTTTAAAAATAATTGAATTTCATTCATATTTTTAAAAATAATTGTATTCTTTCGAGAAATTTTACTAAAATTAAATTAAAAATAATTGAATTCCTTTGAAGAAATTTATTATTTCTAAAAATAATTGCAGAAAATTTTATTATTTATGAAAATAATTGAATTCTTGCGAAGAGTTTTGTAAATAATTAAATTCTTTTGAAGAATTTCTTTGTGTTTTTTTTTAAATAATGTATTTTTTGAATAATTTTAATTAAGGACAGGGTGGCCACATGTCAGTAAAGTCAGGGAAATGTCAGGGAAAAAAATTTTTTGTCAGTAAAGTCAGGGAAATGTCAGGAAAAATTTTGTTGTTAGGGCAATTAAAGAAGAAGGGAAATGTCAGGAAAAACAATTTTTTGTCAGTAAAGTCAGGGAAATGTCAGGAAAAATTTTTTTGTCAGGGCAATTAAAGAAGAAGGGAAATGTCAGGAAAAACAATTTTTTGTCAGTAAAGTCAGGGAAATGTCAGGAAAAATTTTTTTGTCAGGGCAATTAAAGAAATTAAGACGGTCATGCAATACATTTTTTGCTCTAAACAAAAAAATTTTTGTCAGGGAAATTTGTTGTTATGTCAGTAAAATGTCAGGGAAATGTCAGGGAAATTGATAAAGTCAATCTTGCGGACACCCTGAAGGAATATATGAAAATAATTCAATTAAACAAAGAATTTTTTTCAAATTTTTCAAATTAAATCTTGTCTCTTAAAAATTATAATTAAATTTTTCATTATTGAATTTTTTTTTAAAGTATATTGAAAATAATTGAATTTCTATGAATAATTTTGTTATTTACAGAAATTTCAGAAACAATTAAATTCTTGCGAAGAATTTTACTTTTTTTAAAAAGAATTGAATTGTTTCGAAGAATTTATTAGAATTTTAGAAAATAATTGAATTCTTTCGAAAAATTTATTAAAAATTAGAAAAAATTTAATTAAATCCTTTCGTGAAATTTTATTAAAATTGTATTGAAAATAATTGAACTCCTATAAAAATTTTATAATTTATAAAAATAATTGAATTCTTCCGAAAAATGTTATTATTTGTGAAAATAATTGAAATTTTGCGAAATATTTAATCAAAATTTTTTAATATTAGTTGAATTCTTTAAAGAAATTGTTTTTAAAATTCTGAAAAATTAGTTTTAAAATTCTAAAAAAAAGTAATTTAATTTTTCAAGAATTTTATAAAAAAATTGACATAATGAAATTTTTATAAACAAATTATATCATTTTATAATTTTTACAGAATAGAATTTAATAATTTACAAAAAATTTCTTAAAAATTTTGAAAATATTTGAAATTTTTTAAGCTTTAAAGAAGATATTTGATGAATCTTTTTCAAGAAATCTATTAAACGTTTTGAAAATTAAGGAATTTTTAAAGGAATTTTACACAAAATAAGATTTTAAATAACCAGAAGGAAAAAATTAATATAATTGAAAATAATTGAATGTTTGCAAAGACTTTGAATTCTTTCATAAAATTTTATTTAATTATATTGAAAATAATTCAATTCCTGTGATGAATTTTACTATATTTATAAAAATAATTGAATTCTTTCGAAGAATGTTATTATTTAAGAAAATAATTCAATTTTTACGAAGAATTATATTTCAATTTTTGAAAATGTAAACAATAATAATTCATTATGTACTTAATAAGTGAATTTTTTAAAATTTGATTATGAAATTATTCAAAAATTTGAATTAAAAAATAAATAAGTAATTTTGTAATTTGCATAATAATATTTAATAAATTGAACACCACATTCCGCTAGTTTTATTTATAAAAGAAAACATAAGATAAAGTCTATATGTAATAACTAAACATTCAATGTAGCAAGGTTTTTTAATTTGTGGTTTCTTCAATTATTAAAATTCCCTGACTTTTTAAAAATTTTAAAAGTTCTCTGACTTTCCTCTGATTTCCAGTTTTTCCCTAACTTGCGGCCACCCTGTTAGTTATTATTAATTATAATTAATTTAAATCAAAGTTTTGTTAAATTTCCTTTCAAAATTGTTATTATTTCGTTACAGAATTCCTCTTTGCACGTTAATTAATCAACATTTGGCATCATTAGCAAGAAAATTTCCAACGACGAAATTTTTAAAAAGTATTTCCACCACCTGCATACCAAATTGGCCCGACAGCAATCTACCAACAATATTTATTTACACAAATGGAGACATGACTAAACAAATTATTGGGCCAATTGAATTACGAGGAATGAAATTAACAGAAGATGGTAAACATTGTTCTTTTAGTAAAAATTAAAATTAATCGTAAAATAGATTGAAATCAAAATCAATTAATTTTTTGCAGAATTGGAATGGATGCTTGGAGAAGCAGAAGCTGTTCCGACAAAAATAAAAACCGATCCAAAACCAAAAGTTCGAGACGTTCTCTTCTCGAAGTTAAATGAACAAAATGATGATCTTGCTGATACGAATGATTGGTGATGCTTTCGTTTTGTTTTCAAATGGAAACAGAAGGTCTTCGATTTATTTATGCACGTCATTTGAAGAAAAATTATTTTTTTAAGTAATTTTTTGCATAGTTGAGATGACATTAAATTTTATTAACACTATTATAGCACGAGATTTGTTGAATTATAAATTTAAGTTTACAATTATGCTCATCCAAAGCAATTTTATTTCAAGTTTATAATTATTTATTTTAATGGGATTTATATGTATCTATTAACAATTATAATAACTGTAAAGAAATATTTTTAAAAAATGCGTGGAAAAAAATACTTGTTAAAAGTGTGAAAGCATTTAATTTTAACATTTTTCTATGAAAAATATCAATAAAAGTTTTTAGCACTTTACAAAATGGTTTTTCATTTTCTAAAAAATTCATACGACTCTAGTTAATTTCGGCGAAGTTCACAACGTTTATGTACCTAATTAATTAATTCATTTCTTAATTTGTTTAAAAAAGTATTATTTTTTAAACATTTATGTATTTTTTTCACCGAAAACAATAGAGCTCGAACCAGTGAAAATATTTAAAAATACGGACTTTACGGACCAATTACTAATAAAAATTTAACCAGTTCGAGTCAAATAAGAGAACATTTTACTTAAAAGTAGAAATTAAATTTTTCATAACTATAAAACATGAAGATATCGATCATTCCGAGTCTTCGACTTGGAGTGGTGGATTTCTTCATGTTTTATAATAATTAAAGGTGATTCAAGCATTTTTAACTAAAATTCTTCTTCAAATCGATTATTTTTTAATACTTTTTGAAAAAGCACTTTGACAATTTTCAAATTCATTTGTTTACAATATTCAATTTTACGAAATTTCAATTATTCGTAAATTCTGCAATATTAAATATATATACCTATTAGAAAATAAAAACTTAAAATAATATTAACAAAATTTAATTAAACTTTTTCAAAAAAATTAATTTTAAAATTCAATTATTTTGAAAAATTCACGCTAAAGGTATTGCTTTTAATATTCAATTATTATCTAAAACTTTAACTGAAATTGATTTTTAAAAAAGTTTTTGTTAGAAAATTCTACAAGAATTCAATTATTTATAAATACAAAAATAAATAATCTATTTAATAATTGAACGTTTCTTAAAATTTAATTCTCATAAAGATTTTTATCAACAAATTTTTAAATAATTAACTTCTTTTGATGAATTTTAATAAAATTTTTAAGAATAATTTTATTTTTCAAGAAATTCGATTAACATTACATTAAAAATAATTAAAATTCTGAAATGAGTTTTATTATTCATGGTTGCCACAAAATCTAGATTTCAAAATTCCAGGCTTTTTCCAGGTTTTCCAGGTCAAAAATATTAAAAATTCCAGGTTAAAATTTAGGAATTATTTGTGATGAAAAAACAAGTATTTTACAAAACAGTGTTAACAATATTCATTATTATGTAGTTATAAATTAATGTCCCCTTAAACAGTTAAAATCACAGGCATTTTTATGTCAAAGTGAGACAATAATACACACTCACCTATATAAGAGTAATTTTTCTAAAAGTGCTACTTTTGATATTCCATTTTTCAATTTATTTTTTTTAAATTATATGGGTTTTTCTATTGAAACTACTTTATTTCATACTCAAGAGTAAGAATTTAAGTTGCGCAAAATTAATTTAAAAATATTAAAGTCTTTATTCTTTGAATTTTACTCGGGCCGATATGTAAAATTTGAATATTTATAAAAGCAATATTATTCCTCCTTTTTATAAATAATATATATGGAAAAATTAAACATCAGATCTTTAACTTTATTTTAATGTGCATTAAAATTTTTTTTTAGAATATTTTTAATGTATAAAAACATCATTAATCATCATGATGTAATTTTAACTTAAATTGAAGACAAAATTTAAACATTTTTAACACATATAAAACGGAGGTCCAAAAATTTTTAAAATGAACATAATGTTAGAAAAAACATTGTATTTTCTGGAACTATTTTTAAAAAATTTCTAAAAATTTGAAAAACAACCATAAAAATTTAGTTTTCTTATAGAAGTCCTATTGGAGAAATTATATTAGTTATTGCATAAATTCAGTTAAATAAAATTGTTTAATTTTTTTTAATGATAAGTAAGGGCTAAATTTTTACTATGAAAATGGTTAATAATATTATTAGAGAGTAGATTTTATAAAATTAATCGAGACATCAAAAATGTCACTTTCAGAAGAATCAGTCATAATTAGAACATTCAAGTCATGTCTAAATTTACTAATTTTTATCTTTAAACTTTGTTCAAAATCTTGAACAAAAAACAACTAGTAACAAAAAATTTTGACAATCGTAATACTAATAAAGATATAAATTCCTTTTTTTAGAACAATCTTAACAACATTTTTCACAGTTTTAGTCAATAATTAAAAAGAAAAATTAAATTAATTTAAAGAGAAGATAACATGGAAAAGGAAAATTGTATGTTAACATTTAAAGAAAAATAACATGTTGAATGGAATTTTTCTTAATATCTTTCATTAACCAAAAAAAATTCCAGAAATTTGTTCAAAAAATTCCATGCTATTTCCAGGTTTTCCAGGTTGTGTGGCAACTATGTTATTTCTTAAAATAATTTAATTTCTAACAAGAATTTTATTATTTACGAAAATAATTGAATCCCCGTAAAAATTTTATTACTTATGAAAATAATTGAATGATTGTGATGAAATTTGTAAAAAAATTTGTAAATAATGAAATTCCTGTGAAATTTTTATTATTTTTTGAAAATAATTAAAAGTTTGTGTAGAATTTTATTAAATTTTTTTTTTAATAATTGAATTCTTTGGAAAAATTTGGTTAAAATAGTAGAATATTGAAAATCATAAAATTAAAGAAAATTTTTGAAAATAATTGAAATTTTGCCAAAAATTTTATTAAAATTTTTTAAAATAATTAAATTTTGGAGAAGAATTTAATTATTTATAAAGATAATTGAAATATTGACAAGAACTTAAAAAAAAATTTTAACATAATGGAATTTCTGCAATCATTTGTAATTTCTTAAAAATTATCCAAATTATATCGTACAATTTTTGTTTATACATTTTTTTTTAAAATTATTCATCAAGAAACTACATAAAACATTTTTTTATCATAATTTATATCAATTTAAATAGAAAAATATTTTTTTCACTAAATTATTAATTATAAATGTTATGAACTTTTCAATATTATTATTACAAATAATAATATAAAATTAATACGAAATATTTCTATTTTAATAAAAATGTAATTAAATAGCTTTTAAGTACCGTAAAGGCGCTAGCACAGCTCCTACTGCCTGCCTGCCTGCAGGTTGTCATGGTAACACATAAGAGTAAGAGAGTCAGAAAATTCAAATTAAATGTTTTTTCTCTCTCACTCTCATTGCGCCTGCCTGTCTGCAGGCAGGCAGTAGAGGTGAGAGTGTACCTGCAGGCAGTAGAGGTGAGAGTGTACCTTAAGGTCATGTTATTCAGTGGTCACGTGCCCCATATACTTTACTATGGGAACCCGTGACCACTGAATAACATGACCTTAAGTGAGGCTAAATTCGCTCATGTAGGGTAAATTCGCTCAACCGATGTCTATTTTTTAAAATTCGATTCACATACTTTTTAGGAAGAAATATTTAAGATTTACAATTGTTTTGGTTAATATAAATGCTAAACTTTAATTTAAAATTTATTTGCAGCAAATTCATTGGTAACTTTCAGTAGAAATTATATTTAAAACACAAGTGAATAATTTTCATATTGAACAAGTAGTATGAAAAAGTAGGGAATAAAGCTTTACTTCAAAATTTTTAAGTTTCTGAACATTACATTTCCTGTATCTCCAACACGATTTTCATAAAGCACAAAAATTAAAGCAATAAATAGATTCTGCAAAAAAAAAAAAAAATTCAAATTTGTTGTGTAAATTCGCTCAGGAAATAAGTCTACAAAAAAGATGTTTGGGCCTGGATATTTTAAGTATGTTAATTACTTTAATTTATAATTCGATTTTTTTAAATAATAGTACTCTTATAACTGAAAATTAAACGATTTAAAACGGTTTAAGCACTAAACTGTCAAACTTAACCTTGTTTTTTATGGTTATGAGTACCTACGTTTGATTGAATGATTGAATCTAATTACTTATTGATAAAACAATATTAAATATTTATTCCAATAACTTTGTATATTGTTCTTAATTTTTTTCTTTATTGATTCTAAAGAATATTTAGTTTCATTTTTGCAAATTATAATATATTTTGCCAGAATAATAATGGTGAGCGAATTTACCCATCATTTAAAGGTAAAGTCGCTCACAAAAAACGGCTTATAAATAATTTTCTGCAACATATTTTAATTTCTTTATGCAGTAATAGGAAAGATAAAGGGTTAAAGATTATATATTTTCAGTGCCAATGTTTATTTTCATCGTTTCCCGAAGTTATTTAAAAAAGAATTGAAAAATTGAGCGAATTTAGCCTCACTTACGGTAGGTAATTCTGTGGAAGAAAGGCATAACAGCATAACTGACATTTTTATCAAATTTGAGATAACATCAGATTTGTATATATTTAATATTGCTCTTCAAAGTTCAATAGCTGAAAAATCATTAAAATGGTTATTAATGTAGAAAATAATGGAAAACATAATCGCATAATTGCGTTTTTGACAAAAGGAGACCAGCATAATAACATAACTGCATTCTGCTTAAAAAACAATTGACATAATTAAAAATGAAAATAACCTTTATGAATAAAAACAATAAGAATTTTGTAATAAAATGTTTTTAGTAAAATACATTTTTCGTACTTTAAATTAAATATATTTATTTTAATAAAACTGGAACAAATTTTTTATAGCATAAATTGTGCATTTAATTATGTACTAATTTTTAAGGGTATTTCTATTCTAAAAAATTTTGGAAAGTATTTCAAAAAATGAATTGAAAAATTCTTCAAGTTGAACAGTAAAGTAAATTTTTTCTTCGTTTCAATAAATTAAAAACATTTTATAAAAAAATAAATTTTATAACTAAATAAACTCTTATAATTTTTTCTAACGAATTAATAGTTTAATTTGTCTTTGTATGAAAAATTTTTTTATTATGACAAATCAAACCAAAATAAATTGTGACATTAAAAGTGTCTGAAGTTGGACTCATATACAATCTGAACTTGCATAACCGCATAAGTGCAATAAAACTCATGATTCCGATGAAAAATTATCAAAATTTATATCAAATCGTGTGTTTTATTAAATGTTATAAAAGAGTTTTGAAAATATATTAAATAATAATACTAAATGCAAAAGACCGAACAAATCTGTTGATTTTCTAAATTGACAGAAGTGAGAGAACATTAAAATTAATTTATCTCGAAATCATGACAAATGCAGTTATGCTGTTATGCCTTTCTTCCACATATTATTCTCTCCAAAAATAATAAAATTGTTTTCCACAGAATTTTTATTTTGTTTAATTATTAATCAAAAGACTATATGAAACATTTTCTTTAACAATTTATAACAATTTAAATAGAAAAATATTTTTTTCTTCTAAATGGTTAATTACAAGGATTAATAATATATAATTATTATTGTTACAAATACAGGGTTGCCACAGGCCAGGGAAGTCACGGAATTCAGGAAAAAGTCAGGGAAAGTAGAATTGGTCAGGGAAATGAAGGAAAAGTCAGGGATTGTTCTTAAAAATATACTGGAAAAAATTAAATTTTTTGAATTCATTAGAAAATTCTGAATTGCGCTTACAGTTTTCATAAATAGATGAACTTCAAAAGGTTTTAATTTGAAAAAAATTGAATTTTTGAAAAGTTACAAATGATTATAGAAATTCAATTATTTTCAAAAGTAATAAAAAACTTCGCAGAAATTTAAATTATATTCAAAAATTTTAATAAAATTCTTGTCACAATTTCAATTATTTTTAAAAATATTCCGCAATTCAATGATTTTTAATACATATCTACTGTTTTAATAAAATTTTCCAAAAGAAATCAATTCAAAACAAATTTTTATACAATTCTACGCAATTATTTAATTCTTTTCATAAATAATAAAAATTTCACAGGACTTCAATTATTTACAAAAATTTTTACAAATTTCTTATATATTATTCTTAAAAATTTTATTAAAATTCGTCAAGAAATTTCATTATTTAAAAATTTATTAATAAAATTCTTTATCAGAATTCAATTTTAAGAAACGTGCAATTATTCAATAAATTGTTTTTTTTGTATTTAAATAATTGAATTCTAGTTGAATTTTTCAATAAAAATTTATTTAAAAATGGATTTCAGTTAAAATTTTAGATAAGAATTGAGTATTAAAAGCAGTATGGCATGGATTTTTAGAAATAATTGAATTTTGAAAACGTTTCAAATTAAAATCTTTGAAAATTTGAATTTTTCATACTTTTAACAATTTTTATCGAATTCCTCGAAAAGTTTAATTATTCTTCAAAATTTTATTAAAATTAGTCAAGAGAATTCAATTATTTAAAAATGAATTTTAGTTAAAATTTTAGATAATAATATTGAATAATATAAGCTTTACTTATGACATGAATTTTTAGAAATAATTTAATTTTGAAAAGGTTGCATATTAATAAAATCATTGAAAATCTGAATTTTTCATACTTTTAATTAACAATTCTGTACAATTAATTTTTTAAAAAAAGTTTAATTAAATTTTGCTTGAAATTATTTGAAGTTTTTATTTTCTATTATACCTATATTTAATTGAAGAATTTCCGAATTATCGAATTTTCGTAAAAATTGAATTAAAAAAAAGTGGATTCGAAAATTCGCAAAGAACTTTTTCAAAAATTACTTAATACAATTAATTTAAAGTAGAATTTAGTTAAAAATTGGAGAAACTTTTATTTTATTTCTAGGGTAAGTGTGCCAATTATGGCGCGGTTCTGGTTTAGCCGTCTTTGAAATAGAAAATTCAAAAATTATAATGAAAGAAGTAAATTTATGGCTTATTCAACTAAAAGCCCGTGTCATATAGATAATAAAACTTTTATAAAAACTTTATAAAAATTAATTATTTAAACAAAATTAAAGCAATAAGAATTAGGATTAAAAACGTCAATTATGGCGCGGTTGAGTCAATTTCGGCGCGCCAATTACGGCGGGGAAAATAACGTGTATTTAGAGGTTGTGTTGCGCGCCATAACTGGAGCACGCACATTCAATGAAAATGTGCCAATTATGGCGGGGCACAATTTTTGTACTTAAATAATTAAACCAATAATAGTTCAAATGTGTTTTTTTTCGTACAATTATATCGAGTAAGGTCGAAAATAACTTTTTCTATCATTTTCAAATAACTATATTATTCTAAAATAGTAAATAATTCTATTTTTTACAAAGTCGCCATAATTGGAGCACCCGCCACAATTGACACACTTACCCTACATAAAATAAAAATATACTAATTATTTCAATTAAATTAATTAAACTAATTACTTTCAATTAAACTGTCATTATAATATCCAGTAATTTCAATTTCTTGAGAATTTATTTAGTTTTTTAAAACATTTAATTTAAATTTTCGTACTTTGAACCCGTTTTTAAAAATTAAATAATTTAGTTTAATTTCGTAATGTTTATGTTAATTTTTGTCAAAAAAAATTTTAACCTTAAAAATTTACAGTTTAATTCATTTGAACTTTTCCAAATTTTTTTAAATAGATAATATAATTTACTTAATTTAATGTTAAAACTATAATAAAAAATAATTATAATAAATAACTTTAATAAAATTGTGAATTAAATAAATAATTTTGCAAATTTTGACAAAGAAATACATTTATAACCTAACTTTGAAAATCGTTTTTGTTGAACTTTAACCTTTATAAAATTGTTTGTCAAATTAACTTACCGAGAATTCAGTATTATTCCAAATTTTTTTCGGGTTCTATCCAAAAAAATATCCATATCGAATGTGAAGACAAAGAAGTTCGTGAATGTGAAGTGGGGGGAGGCAAAATCCAAGAAAATCAGTCAAATACGCATACATAAAAACAAACAATGGTGTATTGTGAAGTTTCTCTTTTGTCACTTTTTTCTAATTTAAACAAAAAGGTGAGTAAAATTAGTGATAAAATTTATTTTTACTATAATTATTTAATTTGTTATTTAACTATAATAGAATAAAAATTTAAAATTTAACGGTTAAACGTAGCAGTTATCGAGAGTTTAAGGGTTGCCAATAATTAGGGGCTCCTTGACCTTGCGTCATTATAATTAAAGACACATTAACCTCTTCTATCATGTTCTCCTGTGTAAGAAAATGATCAATTTCGTCTTTAAAAGACTGATCAAAGTGCTAAAAAATTGAAAGAATGTTATTATAAATGTTTAAATATTAAAATTAATTTAAAAAATATTATTAAAACTTAATTTGCATAAGGGGCCCTATAATCTAATCACAGCACTGATCTGTTTTCTAATGTTTACATTATGGCTTTCAAAGGCACTCTGAGTCCAGGCTCTTCTGGTGTTTGATTACCTTCTCAGTTCATTCGTACGTCGCCACCGACTTCGTTCAGATCAAAACAAAAGAAATGGACGCTTAGAAATCACAAAAAAAGCTCAGCCTCTAAACGTTGGATGAAATTATTTACTTAATAATTTCCGTCCTTATGGAATATTTCACTTTCAAATATCAGTGTTGCGAAAAAATGGTTTATCATCAACGTCCTTTAAAACTATTTCAATGATTCTTCTGATAAGATCGTGAAGCCAGCCGATCGGTTTTCCTGGATTTTCTTCAATTGGATTTGAAAATTTAATTACAAGGTAAGTCTCGAAAGAAGAATTTTTAATTTATTCGCACATAATGAATGTGAACATTTTTTTTTTATTGACAGTTTAACTTTTTTATAAACTCTATAAGGGTTGCCACAGATCAGGGAATTTAGAGAAAAGTCAGGAAAAGTAGAATTGGCCAGGGAAATCAGGGAAAAGTTAGGGATTTTTATTAAAAGTACTGGAAAAAATTAAATCTTTTAGAATTTACAACTAAATTCTCAATTTTTGTGTCTTTTTGTTTGCCTCATAAAATTAACACGAATTCTAAAAAAAACGATACATTTTTTCTATTCCTGATAATAATTATTTATTTTAAATAATTTAATTCTATTAATGAATTGCCATTAAGTTATTACTTATAAATTATTTAATGAAGTATTTTATTAAAAAAATTTAATTTCAATTCTGTTGAAATTCCTTTCAATTTTAAAAATTTAAACGCAATTCTTTGGAAGAATTTAACTACCTTCATAAATATTAAAATTCTTTACAGAAATTCAATTATTTTCAAAAATATTTTTAAAAAAATTCTAGTCAACATTTCAATTATCTTTATAATTGAATAGAAAAATTCTTCGCAAAATTAAATTATTTTCAGCAATTTTAATAAAATTCATTGCAAAATTCAATTATTTTCAAAAATTTTCATAAAATTCATTGCAAAAATTCAATTCTTTTCAAAAATTTTTCTTAATTCAATAATTTGTATATCTATTTTAATAATATTTAACAAAAGAATTCAATTTATTTAAAAAGAATTTTGACAAAGTTCTACACAAATAAGTATTTAATTATTTTCTAAAACAATGAAAATTTTACAGGAATTCAATTATTAAAAATAGAATATTGCATAAATTTGTTCCAAAAATAACCAATTGTTTGAAACTTTTTTATAAAATTCTTTGCAATAATTCAATTATTTCCATAAATAATAAAACTCATTGCAGAATTTCAATTATTTATAATACAATTTTACAATAAAACTTATTGCAGAATTTCAATTATTTTTAATTCAATTTTAATCAAATTCCGCGAAAAATGTAATAACTCTTAAAATGCGTTAAAAGAATTCAAATATTTAAAAATTTGATCATAAAATTATGTATAAGAATTGAATTTTGAGAAACATTCAATTATTCAATAAATTATCTATGTTTCTATTTAAATAATTGAATTCTCGTAGAATTTCCAAATACAAAATGATCTAAAAATTAATTTCAGTTAAAGCTTCAGATAATAGTTGAATTTTGGAGAAGTTACTGATAATTGCAATTTTTAGAAATAATTGAATTTTGTAAAGGTTTCAAATTAAAATCTTTTCTAAATCTGAATTTGTTATTCTTTTAATTAAAAATTCTATAGAACTAATTTTTTTCAAAAAGCTTAATCGAAATTAAAAAAAAAAATTATTTCAAGTTATTATTTTCTAAATGTACCTATTATTTTATTTAATTAAAGAATTTTTGAATAATTGAAATTTCGTAAAATTGAATTGTAAACAAATTAATTTGAACATTTTCAAAAGAACTTTATCAAAAATTATGAAAAATAATAATTGATTTAAAGAAGAATTTTAGTTAAAAATTCTAGAAAATAATAATTTAATTGAAATGATGAAACAGGGTTGCCACAGTTCAGGGAATTTAGGGAAAAGTCAGGGATTTTTTTTAAAAGTACTGGAAAAAATTTAATCTTTTAGAATTTATAAGAAAATTTTCAATTTTTGTGTCTTTTTGTTTGCCTCATAAAATTACCACGAATTCTAAAAAAACCTTAAATTTTTTCTATTTCTGACAATAATTTCTTTCTAAATAACTTAATTTTTTAAGAAATATCATAAAATTATTACTTATAAATTATTTAATTAATAATTTTTACAATTCTCACAAATACTAGATTGATAGAAGAATTTTATTTAAAAATAGGTACTAAAAAAATTGAATTTTGAGAAAAGTTACAAATGATTCCAGAAATTCAATTATTTTCAAAAGTTATAAAAGTTCTTCGCAAAATTTCAATTATATTCAAAAAGTTTTAAAAAAAATTCTCGTCAAAATTTTTATTATCTTTATAAATTTTAATAAAATTCTTCTCAGGAATTCAATTATTTTTAAAAATGCTAATAAAATTCTTGGCAAAATTTCACTGAAATTCAATTATTTACAAAATTTTTAATAAATTTCTTTGAAATAATTCAATTATTTTCATAAGTAATACAATTTTCACAGGAATTCAATTATTTAAAATACAAAATTTCATAAAATTTTTCGAATAATATCAATTATTATTTAAAATGATTTTTATAAAATTCGTCACAAGAATTCAATTATTTAACAAAGTTCTTTTAAAGAATTCAATTATTTTTATAAACTTGAATAAGATTCGTTGCAAGAATTCAATTATTTATAATATAATAAAATTCTTTACAAAAATTCAGTTATTTTTGTAAACTTGAATAAAATTCGTTGGAAGAATAAAATTATTTTCAAAAGTAATAAAATTCTTCGCAAAAATTCAATTATGTTCAAAAATTAAAAAAAATTCTTGTCAAAATTTCAAGTATCTTTATAAATAATAAAATTCTTCTCCGAAATTAAATTATTTTAGAAAAATTTTAACAAAATTCTTGGGAAAATTTTAATTATTTTCATAATTAATAAAACTCATCGCAGGATTTTAATAATTTTTTATACAATATTTTAATCGAAATCCTCAAAAAATGTAATTATTCTTAAAATTTTTATTAAAACTTTTCAAAGGAATTCAATTATTTAAAAGTTTTTGTTGATAAAATTTTTTATGAGGTTTCAATTTTAAGAAACATTCAATTTTTCAGTAAATTATTTATTTTTTAATTTAAATAATGGAATTCTTCTAGAATTTTCTATTAAAAATTGATTTAAAAATGAATTACCGAATAATCGATGTATTATTTATGAAAATAATTAAATTATTGCAACGAATTTTATTAAATTTTTTTTAAATAATTGAATTTTTTTGAGAAATTGTACTACTTGTAAAAATAATTGAATTCTTGCGAAGGATTTTTGTAAATAATTAACTTTTTTTTTGAAAAATTTTATGGTAATTTAAATTGTTACAAAACATGAAGAAGGCGATAATTCCGAGTCGAAGACTCGGTGTGATCGCCTTCTTCATGTTTTGTAATAATATATTCCTATAAGTTGTTGAATTTTAAAAAGGTTTGAATTTGAATGTTTTGAAGAATTTTAATTCCTACAGAAAAATAACATATATAACAATATTCTTATATTATAATATAAAATAATGTTTTTATCATTCGGTCATTTTGTTTTACAATAATATTTTTATCAGTTATTGTATTTTAAAAGGTTTGAATTAGAAATTTTCTAATTTTTCAGGGAAAAACAAAATTAAATTTTTGTGGCAACCCTGTCTATTTTTGTATTTAATAATTAAATTTCTTATTTTTTGTCCCCTTTGAATTATGTGGAGGTTATTTTGCATTTTTTCTGAAAAAATTACATTTATTTCTAATTCGATGTTTCTTATTTATTTATCTGTTTTTAAAAACTTATTTTTTTTGTAGGAAACATGAATTCCAAATTGGGTAAGAGTCAAAGTTATAATCTTTATTCTTGCTCTCATCTGTCAAATGCTAAAATCCATTTGAAATTAGATCATTCGGGTGGAAGTAAAAAATTCGTGAAATACTGCAGTAAACCAAATCCATCGATTCAAATAAATTCAACAACGGGTCAAACTACAGTTTTTCTTCCACCGCCATCAAGAAGTATTCTCAAATCATCCAACGAATTAGAGGAAACAAAATTTTCATCCTTTAAATACAATAATAATTCATCAAGAGAATCCTCGGGTTCAAAATTCAACCTCTTTTCAAATTTTAATAATAACAATAAAAAACATCAAACGTTTGCCAATAAAACTTCAGCGAACAATGACAATTTCAATAATCGTTTTAAGCCAAACATTCTTAAAACGAAAACAGTGCTAAAACGATACGATTTTCTTGATGTCAAAAGTGACAATGAAAATAAATCCACCAAAGATGCAAGTCATCGAAAAAGAAAACAAGTTTATAATTTGCCCAGTGACACGGATTTAGATCTGAATCAAACAAAAGAAAAAGCTTTACTTCCACAACCCGAGAAGAAGAAACAAAAAATCGAGCCAAAAATTGAAATTAAAATTGAATCCAATAACTTGAATTTAAACGAGGAGGAAATTGGCGAAAAGAAAAGAAGGACAACAAAAAGGAACGAAAAGAAAATTGCAGAAGGTAAAATAATAAATGAAAATTATAAACGAAATAGTAGTGAGTTGTCAAATTTCGAGGAAGGCGAACCATTAAAAAAAAGGACAAACAGAGGAAGAAAATGTAAAATCAATACTCAAACGCAGACAAAGAATATTAGGAAAAAAGTGGAAAAATCGAGCGCCAGAGTTTGTCCTTTCGTCTCAAAACGTCCGAATTTGCAGAAAATAAAAGAAACCAGTGAAAATAATTTAAGTGAAGAGGAAATCTTCATAAATCTCACCAGTGATCAATCTTCAAGTGACACTGAATGTTCAAATCAAAATTGGAAAATTGAACCGCCCAGTGAATCTGAATCTACAATTTGGGAGAATTTTTCCAACCCCGACGAAACTGTCGTAAAACAAGAATATTTTCCACAGGAGAAAAAAGAAAATGAAGAACAAGAATACAAGATAGAAGAAGATGAAGGAGAGGACGAAGAAAATGAAGAAAATGAAGAAGTAGAAAAAGAAAATGAAGGAGAAGACAAAGAAAATGAAGGAGAAAACGAAGAAAATAAAGAAGAAAAAGAAAATGAAGGAGAAGAAGGAGAAAATGAAGAAGAATATATAGGAGAGAATAAAGAAGAGGAAAAAGAAGAAAAAGAATTTTATCAGCAAGAGGAGAAAATTCAACCATCCAGTGAATATAATTCAGAAAAAATGCAGACACTGCAGGAAAGAAAAAAGTGTAGCCCAGAAGAATTTCCAAATCTTGATCATGTGACAACGGAATTTCTCGAAAACAGTTCATGTCCAGAGACATCGATAGAAGCTTTATTGGGTTTTGAAAATTTCAAAGGTTTCCAATCCGACATTGCAAATTTCGAAGAATATTATTTCAAGAAGAAAAAAATTCCCTTTCCCGTTGATGGTGAATTTTTAATTCCCGATTATTTGAATTACATAAATCCATATGATTTCATTGAATTTTCAGACGATGTTCATAAATTATTGAGTACAACATTGTGCAGTGATTTCATTCAAATAACGCCGATTAAAATGATAAAAAATACACGCAATCTAAATGAAAATAATATAAAATTGGCGAATTTAAATTTCATTGATTTTGATGAGAATTTTAATTATGATTCATCGAAAAAAAATTCTCACATGAGATTGAGGAATGCTCTAATCAATGGTTATAGTTCGGAAGAATTTGATTATGATAATGATGATCATTATTCCAGTAATTTCAGTAATAGTGATCTGAGTAATGATAATGATGGTTGGAATGAAAAATTAGAAGAAAATAGATCATCGAAACAAATTATTATTGAGATTGATGATGAAGTGTTGAATTCCAAATTTTATTTGGATTGCGAGGAAGAGAATAGTATTGGAGAAAATGATAATACTTCGGATGATAATAAATCTATTGATAATGTACCTGATTCACCAAAGAGTATTAAATATGATGAAGAAAGAAACAGAGATTTCGAGATAAATATTGACAGGTATGAAATAAACAATCTTCTTCTTATTTTTTTTTTATTCAATTTATTATTGTTATGCAAATTACAAAAATTTTTATTATCAAATATAAATGTATTAAATAATTTCATAATCGAAATTTAAAAAATTCACATATTAAGTACAAAATTAATTATTACTGTTCATATTTTCAAAAATTTTAATAAATCCTTCTAAAAATTTCAAGTATTTTTTTAAATAATAAAATCTTTACAAAAATTCAATTATTTTCAAAACAATTTTAATTGAATTCTTCAAAAAAATTTAATTTTTAAAAAAATGTTTAACGCATTTCGAAAAAATTAAATTATTTTTATAAATACTAAAATTCTTCTCAAGCATTCAATTAAGTTTATAAACATTAAATTCTTTGCAGGAATTCAATTATTTTCAAAACAATTTTAATTCAATTCCTCGGATGAATTCAAATATTTTTAAATATTTCCTAAAATTTTAATAAATTCTTTAAAAAAATTCAACTAATTTTATAAATGAGGCATTCCATTTCAAATCGTTCCACCGACAAAAAACAATCGCAAGGAGAGCGATTTTTTAATAAAATTAATTATTTAAAAATTTAATTATTTCTAACATATTATACACTAAATTGAAAGAGAATTTCATGAACTTTCTAGTGCTATTTTTATTTTTTTAAATTTCTCTCAATTTCGTAGAGAAATTCCTGTTTGAAAGTTTAAACTCTTAATATCTCAAAACACCCCCCCGTCGATTTTTATGAAAATTATATGAAAATAAAGCTTAACTTTTCTAGTTTCTATTCCCGTATAATATATTATGGACATTTAATGGGATTAGTAAAAAAAAATTGTTTAAAAAATGTGTTTTTGAAAAATTTGACAAATGTCACGAAGTTGAATCCTAACTAACCTTCAACTTCGTACCATTTGTCAAATTTTTCAAAAACACATTTTTTAAACAATTTTTTTTCTACTAATCCCATTAAATGTCCATAATATATTATACGGGAATAGAAACTAGAAAAGTTAAGCTTTATTTTCATATAATTTTCATAAAAATCGACGGGGGGGTGTTTTGAGATATTAGGAGTTTAAACTTTCAAACAGGAATTTCTCTACGAAATTAAGAGAAATTTTAAAAAATAAAAATAGCACTAGAAAGTTCATGAAATTCTCTTTCGATTCAGTGTATAATATGTTAGAAATAATTAAATTTTTAAATAATTAATTTTATTAGAAAATCGCTCTCCTTGCGATTGTTTTTGGTCGGTGGAACGATTTGAAATGGAATGCCTCAAATACTAAAATTCTTTGCAGGAATTAAATTATTTTTAATCCAATTTAAAAAAATTATACGAAAGAATTTATTTTCAATAATTTCCATAAAATTAAATTTCAACAAGAATTTAAAATTCTCTAAGAATAATTCAATTATTCTCAAAATATTTTAAAAAAATTCTATATAAAAATTAAATTACTTTGAATGCAATTTTTAAATATATTCGTCAAAAAAATTGAAAGAATTCAATTATTTTGAAAAAAATAAAATTCTTGTGATGAATTCAATTATTTTCGAAACAACTTTAATTAATTGAATTTAAAATAATTTTTTATCCTTCCATATATTGTTAATAAATATTATTTGTTCGATTCAAGGAAGAAATAATTAAATGAAACAATAAATTTTCATTTTTTTGACAACGTTTCGATGGACTGGTTCGCCATCATCATCAGGTCACTTTAATAAACAAATTCACAAGTCACATAAAATAATTTTAAAAAAATATATAAATTTAAACAAATTCGAAGATATTTACCTAATTATAAAATTACATAAACTTTTGGCCAAAATCAAACTAATTAAAAAATAAATAAATAAATAGGACTAGACGGAAAAATAAAATTTTAAAATTAAAAATCACGAACATTTCAATAAGTTATTAGTCAGACTGACTGCTTAAACGACAATCCTCATATTATATACAGGTGACGAGTTCAATGACCGCAAATCGAAATATTATGAAAATGATCACTCTTTCAATTTATTCAGTAAAGGAAAATATGCATTACTAAGAAATTGTGTATCTTCCTTCTTGTTAATAGTAAAATTATTACATTTAATGTGAATCATTTCCGAAACTAATCTTTTTTTATGAGAAGTTTCATTGTCTAAAATTTGCACATCATCAAAATTGAAAGAATGACTATAATCATTTTTGTGCTAATTCACAACCTTCACAACTGAATCTAAATTTTTACTCTTTTTGTGTTCGTCGATTTTTAAAGTACGTTTCGATTCACCAATATACGTTGCATTGTAATCATTACAATTGAACTTGTAGACAATACCAGATCTATCCCACTTATCTATGAGGTCTTTTCCTAATTTTACAACAGAAGTTAAAGTTTTTTGAACAATCGGACCTCACAGATAAGTGGGATAGATCTGGTATTGTCTACAAGTTCAATTGTAATGATTACAATGCAACGTATATTGGTGAATCGAAACGTACTTTAAAAATCGACGAACACAAAAAGAGTAAAAATTTAGATTCAGTTGTGAAGTAGCACAAAAATGATTATAGTCATTCTTTCAATTTTGATGATGTGCAAATTTTAGACAATGAAACTTCTCATAAAAAAAGATTAGTTTCGGAAATGATTCACATTAAATGTAATAATTTTACTATTAACAAGAAGGAAGATACACAATTTCTTAGTAATGCATATTTTCCTTTACTGAATAAATTGAAAGAGTGATCATTTTCATACTATTTCGATTTGCGGTCATTGAACTCGTCACCTGTATATAATATAGGCAAATGGAAAAAAAAGATATACCTGTCTTTTTGTTTTTAATTTCCAATTGTTTAACAACAATTGTTTAAACAAATTAATAAAAATTTAAAAATATTTGAAAATTGTTAACGCTAATCGATTCTACGTGGAGAAATAAGAATGATTTGTATGGGTAATTTTTTTCTACAAGTCATATTTTTTTTATAAAATTGTTATAAACAAATTAAGCTGGGTAAAAGGGTGTTTCATCTCAAGCATAAACAAATGGATTTTAAGTAAAACTAACAATTGGATTCATAAGCAAATGGAAAAAAGGTATGCATATTAAATGTATTTAATTTCCAATTGTTTAAACAAATTAATAAAAATTTAAAACTTTTGAAAACTGTTGCTTGGGATGAACCACTCATTATCCAGCATAATTTCTTTATAACAATTTTATAAACAAAATACGACTTAGAGTAAAAAATGACACATACAAATCATTCTTATTTATTAGCGATTAGCGTTAAGAATTTTTTAATTTTTATTAATTTGTTTAAACAATTGTTGTTAAACAATTGGAAATTAAAAACAAAAAGAACCAGTCCATCGAAACGCTGTCAAAAAAATGAAAATTTATTGTTTCATTTAATTATTTCTTCCTTGAATCGAACAAATATTATTTATTAAACTTTAATTGAATTTCTTGAAAAAATTTCATTATTTTCAAATATTTCTATAAAATTCTTCATAACAATTTAATTATTTCTTAAAATTTTAATAAATTTTTCTTCTTAAAACATTTCAATTATTTTTATAAATACACTGGAGCTTCACTTATTTTCAGTTTCACTTATTTTCACCATTTCCAGTCTCACTTATTTTCAGTTAAATGGTTCTCCGTGCGTTCTCATTGGTTGATGTTAAAGAATCCACCAATCAAATCAACTCGAATGTTACGTTTCAGAGTGAAAATAAGTGCGACTCTGCCTTTCAGTTTGTTTGGACTTAGTGAAAATAAGTGAAGCTCCAGTGTAGTAAAATTCTTTGCAATAATTCAATTAATTTTATAAATAGTAAAATCCTTTGCAGTAATTCAATTGTTTTCAAAACAATTTTAAAAGAATTCCTCGAAAGTATTTAAATTTCCAAATATTGACATAAAATTCATTTATTTTCTAAAATTTTAATAAATTCTTCGGATCAATTCAATTATTTTTATAAATAGTAAAATTCTTCGCAAGAATTCAATTATTTTTAATGCAATTTTAATAAAATTCTTCTTCATAAAATTCAATTGCTTTCAAAATTTTCAATTAAAATTATTAAAGAAACTCCATTAGTTTAAAAAAAATCAAAGAAATTCTTCAAAAGAATTCAATTAGGATTTTTTAAAATTTTAATAAAATTCTTCGCGAGAATTCAGTTATTTTCCAAAATAACAAAATTATTTGAAGGAATTCTATTATTATCAAATTTTTTGATAAAATCCTTTGCAACAATTCGATGATTTTTAATACATTAATTTTAAAATTGAAAATATTTTAAAAGAAAAATTATAAAATAGTTAAAAAACAAAAAAAAACAACAACTAATTTCGAACTGCGAACAGATTACCGGAACATGTACTTATTATTATTATTTAATAATTAATTATCATTATTATTATTACAGGCCTCGGATATTATGACTTTTTCGCCTTTTTTCAACTATTTTCCAAAAATGCGATATTCTTCGACTTATTTGACTTTATTTTTACAAAATTACGACTTTTTTTGACATTTCTTCCAAATATTGCAATAAAATACCACATTTTTAATATAAACTGCAACTTATTTCGATTTTTATAGTATGAAAAACAACAGACTGTAGACAAAACTTTCAAAAACTTTTTTTGAATAATTTTTGAATGATAATTAAATTTGTAAAATATACTTATAATTAAACTATTTTTTAATAATTGAAATTTTGTCAAATTTAATTGAAAATAATTGAATTTTTTCAAGTATTTTATTACAATTTGTAGAGTAAAAAAACAAAAATCACAAATCTTATTACAGTATTTGAAAATCAACATTTGCGGAATTTTAATTGCAAATTTTGAAAATATGTAATTGAATTTTCAACAATTTTAATGGAAAATCTTCATGATGGAAATTTAAAAATGAAAATTAAGGAAAATTAGCTTATTCTAAAAAATATTTTAAAATATTTTTGAAAAAGGTAATTGCTAATTCTTAAAATTTTTTCATTTTAATTTTTTAAAATTCAATTATTTACAATATTTTTAATTACATATTTCTGAGAATTCAAGTACGTACAAAAAATAACTTTAAAATTTTCTAGAATTATTTTTAACATTTTGGAGAAAAAAATCGTGTTCAAAATTTATACCTAGTTACAATTTTTCAAAAAAATTAATGAAATAATTTTTTTGAAAATTATATAATTCTTTTAAGAAATTCAATTATTTTCAAAAAATGACATTACAATATTTAAAAAAAAATTTATTCTTGGAATTGTTTTATCATAATTTTTTAAAATTCAATTATCTTCGAAAAAAGTAATTAAAGTTTTTATAAAATTAATTTTTTTTAGACTATTAAAATTTTTGGAGAAACCATGTTCATATTTATAATTAAAATTCTTTAAAAATGTTAATATTTGTTTTTATATTTTTTGAAAATTCAATTACTTTTTAAAGGATTTTACCAAATGTCAATTTTTTGAAAATTTTACGAAAAAAATAGAATTTTAAATTGTACTTTACTTTCTTTTTATATTTTTTGAATAATTCAATTCTCAAAAAAACTCTGAACAATATTAAAAATAATTGATTTAGAAAAGTATTTTTGTTTAAAATTCAATAAAATAATTAAATATTGAAAGAGTTATAGTAGAAAATTTTAGAAATAATTTAATTTCAAAAGGTTTTAAATTAAAATTTTTAAAGAATTACCTAAATTTTGAATAATTTTAATTTTTTAAAATTATTTATTAGTAGGCAATCTTTTGCAATTTTTATATTCTATTCAATTGTAAAATTTTCGAATAACCAAAATTTCATAAAATTGAACTTTTATAAAAATTATTAAAAATAATTAATTTAGAAAATAATTTTTGTTAAAAGTTCTTGAAAATAAATGAATTTGGAAGAAGTTACAATTTTTAGACAATTTTAATGAATTTCTAAATAACTTATATTATAGAATGGTTTCAATTGGAAATAATTTATGATATAAATTTTAGACAATAATTTTAATTAAAATTTCTAAATAACTTTGAAAAATTGTAATTCAAATTTCTTCAAAGTTAATTATTTATTTATGTACTTAATGAGATCAATTAGTAATTAGTAATTTTTTGAAACTTTCGAATATATATTTAAATAAAAAAATTTTAAATAATAATCAACATTTTGTAAAACTGAATTGAAAAAAAATTGAATCTTCTAAAACGCATTTTTTGGGTTTTTAAATTGATTCGAGGCCTACATTTTTCATTTCATTAGTATCTATAAATAATTATATAAATATAAATAATTTTATTATTTATTTATTTAAAAAAAAAAATTTTATCTTAAAGTTTTATTTTTTAATTTTTTAATCATTATTTATTTATTTATTTAGATAGTAGGGGAGAGTGGTCCTAAGTTGTCCGCCTAAGCAAATTGGTCGAAAATATTAACAAAATGAAATTTAATCACTTCGGCAAGTATATATTAGTGTTCAGAGATCGTTTTGCTATAATTTTGTGGTATTTAGAACGTTATAGAATGGCTTTTGTAGTCTTAATACAATAAATAGTGAAAAGCTGCATTTTGGACATTTCAGAAATAGCGGTCCTAAGTTGGCCACCACTTTTTTTCGCTTGTGTTTAAGGAAGAAATGCATATTCTTTTCAATTACGCAGAAATTTTACAAATTTGATACATTTAGGAGAATAAAAACGCATTATTTAACTATTTTTGTTTAGAAAATGAAGCAATATTTTATTTCATTTATTTACAGTGGTGGAGGGCTGTAGAGACAGGCGTTTTTGTACTTCATTTTTTCTAATGTTTTTTAAACCATTTTTTTTGTTTTTGTCTTTGTTTAATTCCTACGTTGCACTTTTACGGTCTTTCTCGTGATGAAAAACACAAAAAGAAGCAAAATATAAATAAAAACAAACAAAAACAATAGGTGGCCAACTTAGGACCACTGTAGATTTTTACAAGTTTCAAATTATTACGCTAATAAAAAAAATTTATTTAAAAAATCAACAGAACCTCTTATTACAACATTAAATAAAGGAACTAGCGCACACACTCATTTATAAATTTTTAATTATTTATCTCTTGTAGCTGCTCTCGAAAAAACAAGAAAAATTAAATTTCTTTGGTCGTAAACAATATTATTGTCCCCACAATGCGTAGAAGAATCTTAGATTATAATTAGGTCCATAAATTATATCATGGTTTATCAATATATCATACCACAAAATTATAGATTCGTCCAGTATACCATCTCTGAGAAATGAAGGGTGGCCAACTTAGGCCCACGGCCAACTTAGGACCACTCTCCCCTAATACTGACAAAATTTGTAAATTTTCCAAAATTATTACTATAGGTATTATTTTTTTATTAATTTATTTTATTTGTTGTATTGAAATTTTTTTTCAATCTGAATCTATTTTTAAAAATCAAAATTGTTTTCAGATTCAAATGTCATGAATGCGATATCACTTTTGGCAAACAACGCACTTTAGATATTCATCAAAAGAAGACCCATTCAGGTAATATAATTGTCTATTTTAATAATGTCGTTAAACTACATTTAAAATAATATATCAGCAAAAACACTTCAAAAATTAACCGAGAGATTTTTTTGGTTTCTTGATTTTTTCCAAACGAGTGAAAATTGAATTTAAAAAAAAAATTAATTTATATATTTTATTATTTTATGCTTCCATCCCCTTAATTTTCAAACATTTTATATTGACTTTAAACAAAAAAAGCATTCGTTAACTGTTTATTTTTTATCTTAAGAAATGTAATTGTTTTTCAAATTATGTTTAGGTCATTATAAAAATTTTATTTTTGCATTACATTACATTAATTTAATTAAATATTAAATTATAATTTAAGAGGAGGAACCGCGGTGAGATTTCAAATTTTCAATATTTAAGTTGTTGAGATGCGACAATTATTTTTCTGTAGTTATTTAGGATCTGAGTTTATTATATATTATTATAGAAAAATAGAAAATTTTTGGAAGAATTCGAATTTTTTAAGTAACACCAATAAAATTAAAGGGATGTCAAAGTCGAGTCAGATGTTCCATAGCAGTTTCTATGTAAAAATCCCATCGACTTTGATATCCCCTTAAGGTCATGTTATTCAGTGGTCACGTGTACCATATACTATAATATGGGAACACGTGACCACTGAATAACATAACCTTAAGATAATCAAAAAATGATCTCGTTTAGGAGTATTCAATATTTTTGACATTCAAAACAGTTTCAAAACAATTTTTTGAAAAAATTTAAAGGGCCAGTCCATTATATTTCACCTGAAGCCGTTGCGGCCTATTTTTAAAAAAATCTCATAATTTGTAAAAATGATGTTTAATATCCATAGAATTCATTTTTAAGAATTATTTTATAAAATTTTTCGAATTTCACTTAGAATTTTAATTTTTAAGTTGAGTTGGACAAAAAAAAGGTTAGATTGACAGTTATGAAAATTTAATAAAAAAGCATGGAAATAATTTAGATAATACAAATTTCTTGATTGATATTTGGTTAAAATGAGCTATTTTACTTGTATAAATAGATTTTTATGTAAACATACCCGAAATAATAGATAAAAATTAATTTTAAAATTTACCTATGAAATGTCAAAAGTTACTACATTTTAATTACACTTTTCTAAAAAAATTATAAATATTAAAAAATTTATTACTATTTAATGTAAAGTATTTTCAATGTACTTCCATAATGTGTGCTAACTTTTTAATTTTAAAATATAGAAATATGAAAAATTTTACCTTTAATATTGAGTGTTTAATGATTTTCAGTGATTTTAATCACTTATTTCTTCTCAGGTGCAAGACTAAAAAATCCAATTTTTGTCTCAATAGTTAAGTTTGACCTTCTTTTCCATTCTATTAAATTTTAGAGGTGGAGAACGAGCTACTTTTCAGTTTAAATTTAGTTTAAAAAATCTGCTGAAAAAACGAATTTGTTGGTTAAAATGCAAGTAGATTTTTGCAAGACTATTGAGATAGCCAACTTTAGTGTTATAAAATTACTTACATTTTAACCAATAAACTCGCTTTTGGATGTAGATTTTTTAAACATGAATAAAACTACAAAGTAGCTCGTTCTCCATCAACAAAATTTATTGGAATGGAAAAGAAGGTCAAACTTAATTATTAAGCCAAAAATTGGATTTTTTAGTCTTGCACCTGAGAAGAAATAAGTGATTAAAATCACTGAAAATCATGAAACACTTAATATTAAAGGTAAAATTTTTCATATTTCTTTATTATAAAATTAAAAAGTTAGCACATAATATAAAAGTACATTGAAAGTACTTTACATTATGTACTAATAAATTTTTTAATAATTATAAACCTTTTAGAAAAATGTAAATAAAATGTAGTGACTTTTGACATTTTATAGTTAAGTTTTTAAATCAATTTTTATCTATTATTTTGGGTATGTTTACATAATAATCAACTCATACAAGTAAATTAGCTCATTTTTAACAAATATCATTTAAGAAATGTGTATTATCTAAATTATTTCCATGCTTTTTTATTAAATTTTCATAACTGGCAATCTAACCTTTTTTCTGTCCAACTCAATTTAAAAATTAAAATTCTAAGTTAAATTCAAAAAGTTTTATAAAATAATTCTCAAAAATGAATTCTATGGATATTAACCCCTTGGCTGTCAACGAGATTTACACTGTTTGGTCCAAAAGTGTGTTGAAAAATTTTTAATGGATTTTTATGAAACTTGGTACCCTAAGGTTTCTGGGGTCGCTGAATACGAATCTGACATCAGTTTTTCAAAATTCAAAATGGCGGATCCAAGATGGCGGAAATTTTTTTCAAAATTTGTCGAATTTGCTTGAAACTTGTTACTCGGGGGTTTTAAGGGTCACTGATTACGAATCTAACATTCGTTTTTAAAAATTCAAAATGGCGGATCCAATATGACCGACAACAAAATAAAAAAATTGATCAGATTGACTTGGAACGTAATACTCGGGGGTTTTTGGGGTCGCTGATTACGAATCTGGCATCAGTTTTTCAAAATTCAAAATATCTGGTTCAATATGGCGGAAAATTTTTTAAAATTTATTGAATTTGTTTGATACTGGTTAATCTGACATCAGAATGATAATTTTTGGTGAAATCAAATTTCGTTAAATACTCTAAAAAACTAATGTCAGGTTCGTAATCAGCGACCTCGAAAACCCCCGAGTAACCGGTTTCAGGAACATTTAAGAAGTTTTTAATCACCTTTTTTAAGTTGCGCATATATGCGTCATGAACACTTTTGGCCAGTTTAGTTTTGCGCATATATGCGTCAGCGACAGTCAACGGGTTAAACATCATTTTTACAAATTATGAGATTTTTTTAAAAATAGGCCGCAACGGCTTCAGGTGAAATATAATGGACTGACCCTAAATTTTTGAAAATCCATATGATTGATTGTTTACAATTATGAAAGAAGCGTATATATAAAAAATTGTCAATGAAAAATAATCAAAATTACGAGAGCAATTCTAAAAATTCTAAAAATTTCTAGTTTTATTTAAAAAAATTATTAACTAATTAATTATTTTTCAATTTTTCAAAGTATACCTATTATAATTTCGAATTCTCCGAATTATGTGAAAAAAATGATCACCTATAAAAAACAATATCCTGATGGATTGAAATTCCACCGATCTCTTTCCTTAATAAAGAATAATTATAGTATATTATTATATTTTTCTATAGAATAGAATTTATTATTTTTCAATGTTACAATTGTTTTACATCTGTTATGCATTTATGATATAATTACAATAGAATTATTTTTTAATTATTTCAAATTAAATAATTAGTAATTAAATTGTATTTCGAAAATGATGGAATAGAATATTTTTAAAATAATACAAAGATAGGAAGATAATTTAATTTTCATTCAAACACAAGATTTTTAATTTTTATTAAATAGAAAATATTATATGTTTATTTATTTACTTTTACTTTATAAAAATTATATATTTTTGTAGAAGAAATAATAGAAATTGTAAAATATGTAAAGTTATAAAAAAAATTGGTACAATTTAACAATTTTTTTTCTAAACTGTTGTAATCAGAGACGGTAATTAAAAACCTTGTGATAAATCTTTTTGTGTAACTTTAGCTTTGCACAAGATGAAGTTATAAACCCTTTAGAAAATAAAAAGTAAATTTAATAATTAAATTAGTTTTTAATTTTATTTACTTTGTAGCAACTTTTAAATTAAAGTAACTTTAAAATTGAAATACATAGTTCGAAAAAAATGGTTTAAAATCGAAACTGAGTATTTTTTTTGCTTTAAACCGGATAGAAAATAAATTATAATATTAACTTATAAGTGCGTTAGTGTTAAAAAAATAGAAGGTGAATTATTTTTTGCAAGGTAGGTGTAAATAAATTTTTATTGCGATGTTCTGGAATTTAAAATAATATTTTTATTACAATAAGAATATTATTGCAAATAATACAAGCCTCAGATATTATTACTTTTTTCGACTTATTTTCAAAAATTTCGACTTTTTCTACTTTTCTTTCAAATATTGCAACGAAATAACAAATTTTTAGTACAAACTGCAACTTATTTCGATATTTATAGTGTAAAAAATAACTCTAGACAAAGTTTTAAAAATTATTTTTGAATAATTTTTTTAAGATAATTAAATTTGTAAAATATACTTATAATTTTCAAAAATTTTAGAATAATTGAAATTTTGTAAAATTTAATTGAAAATTATTGATTTTTTTCAAGTCATTTATTACCTACCTACAAGTTTTAAAAATCAACTTTTGAAGAATTTGAATTGCAAATTTTGAAAATAATTTTTGAATTTTCAACAATTTTAATGATAAATCTTCAAGTTATCTTCAAGTAAAACAATTAAAAATGAAAATTAATAAAAATTAGTTTATTCTAAAAATTATATTAAAATATTTTTAAAAAAAGTTATTGTTTGAATTTTTTCATTCTAATGTTTTAAAATTGAATTATTTCCAATACTTTCAATTACATATTTTTGAAAATTCAAATACATACAAAAAATAATAATATTAACATTTTTTAGAACTATTTTGAACATTTTGGAAAAAACTATCATGTTCAAAATTGTTAATTAAAATTTTTCAAAAAATTAATAAGTTTTTTTTAATTATAGAATAAAAATTGTTTCAAGAAATTGAATTATTTTAAAAAAATTACATTCTAATATTTTTAAAAAATTAATTCTTAGAATAATTTTTTTAGATTCAATTATCTTTGAACAAAGTGAATTAAAATTTTTAAAATTTTATTTTTTTAGACAATTATTAAAATTCTTCAGAAATTTGATTATTTGTTTTTATATTTTTCTATAATTCAATTATTTTAAAAAGATTTTACCAAATTGCAGTTATTTTAAAAATGTTTTCAAAAAATTGTTTAGAAATTTTTCAATAATTGTATATAATTAAAAAACTATTATCTTTTAAAAACTATTTAAAAATATTTTTAAAAAATTAACTTCAAGAATTCCTTTATTATATTTTTTTGAAAATATTATACCTTAATAACTTTTTCAAAAATAATAATAATAATAATAATATAATATATGGACAGTTACAATTGCAATTATTATACAAAATTGAATTTTCGTATTTAAATAATCTTCTTCGCGAAGAACATTGGGAAAATTATTAAAAGTAATGGATTTAGAGATGAAGTTCCGTTGAAAATTGTAGAACATAATTGAATTTTTGAAGGGTTCTAGTCGTAATTTTTAAAAATTACTAATTTTCAGAAGGTTTTAAGGGCATTTGAACCTTGATGACGTTTCAGTTTGTGCAAAGCATGTGTGACGTCATCAAGTTTCAAATGCCCTTAAATTGAAATTTTTTAAATTTTATTTCCCGTGTAAAAACAATTAAGAAGTATTTAAATATTTATTTAACAAAATTATTAAAGTTTTGAATAATTGAATTCAGAAATTAGTAAAAGATCAGAGAAATACAAAATAAAATTTTTGTAACAACATTGAATGAAATAAGCGATTTTTTCGCCTCTTTTTGTTATTTTTAATCGACTAAAACGACTTTTTTGAGCCTTAAAGTCCATCCGAAACCTGAAAATTTCAGTATATAGTATATTAAGCAACAAGAGGAGAAAGGCAGCCATTTCTTTACGGTGATTTTTGTGACACGAGTGGAGGTCGAGGGCGCCGTAGGCGCCCCGAGACCGGAACGAGTGTCACAAAAATCATCGTAAAGAAATTGGCTGCCTTTATTCTCGTGTTACTTACGATATTTTTTATTCCTAATGCACAAAAGCGGCGATTTCAGATAGCAGACGACAGGGAGTAAAAGTCATTCACTTGTTCGATTTGTATGAAAATGGCGGCCGATTTCTCCCTTGGGCAAGAAAAATGCATGTGAACAGCTAATTTTCTTGCCCTTGGGAGAACACGGCCGCCATTTTCATACGGTCGAAGAAATGAATGACTTTCCTCCCTGTCGGCTGCTATCAGAAAGCGCCGTTTTTGTGCATGTGGGATAAAAACAATATTAAATAATTTTATTTTAATACAAATGTTATTAAAAAAATCTATAAAAAATATATAATGTAATAAATAATAAAAAATATATTTAAATATTAATATTAATATTAAAAACAAAAAAATAAAACTACAATTTTTTTTATAGGAATACGATCGCAAAGAACGAATGGTTTTTCGTGGAACGTGACAATTTTTTCGGTGAGTATCAAACAATCATATTACAAATTTTATAAAAAAAATTTATTTATTTTTGCATTAAAATATTCTTTTTCTTTACAGGTTGGATTGTGACCGATTGTCTTCTCGATGCTGTAAGCCTTCTAAGAAATTACAACTGCTTATCAGTTTAATGCTCTCACTTTCTAATGAATAGAAGAATATTTTATTAACTGCATTTCACGAAGTCTAATTTCATTTATAAATTTTTACAATTTTTCCTTTTACTTTTTTGTCTACTTAAAAATATTTAATAAAGTATTCGTTTCTATTTATTGTTTACAATTTTATGATTTAAGAAATTAAAAAATTTCAATTTTAATTAAAATTTTTTAATTTAAAAAATTAAAAAGTTTCAATTTTAATTAAAAATTTTTAATTTAAAATTAAATAGAATAAAATTTTATTTCTTGATGCTACACATTTTGCTTTACAATTTTGAAAATTAAATATTTCAATTTAAATTTGATTAATTTTCATAACTTTATTTTTCATTTTAATTAAAATTCAACCCTTTCTTGAAAGAACCAGACATAGTCATTGAAATTAAATAAACTGTGTCTAGTTCTTGCATAAAGGCGTTCGTTTTCTCTTCGAAAATAACTATTTTATGTTTAGATATTTATTATTATGAATGAAATTCTTTGAAGAAATATTTTTCTGTTTTTGTTTTTGTTTCTAAAATAGGAAATAGTTTTTTTCTTGAAGCAATTTGTGCATATTTAATATGTATATATATATATATATATATATATATATATATATATATATATATATATATATATATATATATATATATATATATATATATATATATGTATTGAAAATAAGAAACAGGTGGCTATTTAGAATATATATACGTGTGGAGTTTCAAGTGTCATTAGTCACGTTTAGTAAATCACGTTTCAAGTAGAGTGTTAATGGTATACAAGAGGGATCGCAGGGAGGGTTTTCGGCCGGGTAACAGGCCTTTTTAACCTACTTTAAACTCTGGTGTGTAATAATTACAGCTCTTGAAAAAAAAATATTCCCTCGCGCTCGTAAAATTTTTATAGACCAAAATGTCAATTTATATATTTCTCTAGGACGCAAGAGCGACGTATTATAATTTATAGAACCGTAAATATCGACTCACAATGACGTGAGTCCTTAAAGAAAACAAAGCTTTACATTTTAAGCAATAAAACACGATTATACAAAAAACTTATTTATTATTTTAATCATTTCCTTGAAAATTGTTATTATTATTATTATTAATTTAATAATTAATAACTAAATTAATATTCGTTATTATTATAATTAAATTAATGTTAATAGTATTAATTATTATTGATTTAATTAATAATTAGTATTAATTACTATTCGTTAATGAATACCTAATATTAATTACTATTGGTTATAAGGAATAACTATTATTAATTACTATTGGTTAATTAATAACTTATCAGTCAATTATTAATCTAATGTTACATGAATAATTTAATTAATTTAATCTTCTATATTAATAATCGTTGCATTCCGGTAATCTGTTCGCAGTTTAAAGTCAGATGTTATTTGCTTTATGTTTTCTAACTTTTTAAAATATTTTTTCTTTTCAAATATTTTCAATTTTAAAATTAATGTATTGAAAATCATTGAATTCATGCAAAAAATCTTATAAAAAAATTTGAAGAAAATAATTAAATTCTCGCGAGGAATTTTATTAAAATTTTTAAAAATCCTATTTAAATTCTTTTGAAGAATTTCTTTGAATTTTTTTTAAATAATTGAGTTTCTTATTTAATAATTTTAATTGAAAAGTTTAAAAGGATTAAATTGAATTTTATTACAATTGTATTTAAAATAATTCCTGAGAAGAATTTTATTATTTATGCACAAAAATAACTTAATTCTTGCGAAGAATTTTACTTATTTATAAAAATAGTTGAATTGTTCCGAAGAATTTATTAAAATTTTAGATAATAAATTAATTTTATGTAAATATTTGAAAATATTTGAATTCTTTCGAGGAATTCTTATAAAATTGTCTTGAAAAGAATTGAATTTCTGTAAAGAGTTTTATTAAACTTAAGTATATTCACAATAATTGAATTCATCAAAAGAATTTTATTAGTTTTGGAAAATAATTGAATTCTTTCAATTTTTTTGACGAATATATTTAAAATTTGCATTGAATGTAATTTAATTTTCATATCTAGAATTTGTTTTAATATATTTTGAGAATAATTGAATTATTTTTAGAAAATTTTAAATTCTTGTTGGACTTGAATTTTATGGAAATTTTTGAAAACTTTAATTAAATTCTTTCGTGTAATTTTAAATAGATTGGATTAAAAATAATTTAATTCCTGCAAAGAATTGTAGTATTTATAAAATTAGTTAAATTGTTTCGAAGAATTTATTCAAATTGAAGAAAGTAATTGAATTTATTCGAAATGAGATAAATTTTTTTTTAAAAATTGAATTTTTCTGAAGAATCTAATTAAAATGGTTTTAAAAATAATTCAATTCCTGCAAAGTGTTTTACTATTTTAAAAATATTTGAATTTTTGCAAAGGATTTATTAAAATTTTAGAATATAATTGAATTCTTTTGAAATATTTTATAACGAATTAAAAAAAAAAATTAAATTCTTTCGCGAAATTTTATTGTAAATAATTAAATTGTTTAGAAGGATTTATTAAAATTTTAGAAAATATTTTAATTCTTTTGTGAAATTTTATTAAAAATAATTGAATTTTTGCTAAAAATTGTACTATTTATAAAAATAATTGAATTCTTGGGAAGAATTATATTAATATTTTTGAAAATATAAACAATAATAATTAATTTTATATTTGATAAGTGAATTTTTTAAATTTTGATTAGGATGGAATTATTTAAAAATTTATATTTGAAAATAAAAAATTTTGTAATTTGTATAATAACAATCATAAATTGTTGAATTTGAATTCAAAATTGAACAGTATGTTCCGCGCAAGCGTGCGTAACATTTGCTAGTTGAATAAATAATTTAATTAATTGATTATTTAATATAATTAAAAAAAATTACAATTTATTTAGTGAGGAATACATTATTAGAAGTCAAAAAATAAAGTAAATGGCTTTAAAATTTATTTCACCTCATGATCAGTACCTATAATATATTATTGTTCTTTGTATATTTGTTTACATTTCTTGAAAACGTTTTCTAATTAATTTTCTCTATTTTCAGGATTATATTCGTTTACGTGCAAACGCTGTAAAGGACTCTTTAAGAGTAAAATTCAACTACAAAAGCATTACAAGCATTGCTATCCTAATGACAGAAAGACACTCATCTGCAATATTTGCGACAAAAAGTACAGGTAAAAAAATTAAATATTACGAAAAATTATGAGTCTCTAATTATTTTTTAATTTAATTTTATTATTTTCTTTAGGGATAGAAATTTTTAAAAATTTTCATTTCTTTTTTGTTTGAATTTTTTCCATTTTTAAAAATTTACCAAATAAAACTACCAAAAAATTAGAAAAAAAATAAATTATTGATTAAAAATTTTTTAAATTAAATTAATTTTTACAATAATAAATTGAAAAATAAATAAATTATTTTGGATAATAGTTAAAATTCTATATATTCTGTCATCACGTGAATGTAGAGATTTTTGTTTCTTTATTCCAAATTGTTTTACTACTCAAATTGTCATGTCAAAAGTGTGACGATTTATTTGTATAAATAGAGTGATTATTGTTTTAGTGAAATTAATTCCCCTAGAATTTTTACAGTAACAGAATTTTCACAAGACAGGGAAATAATTAAAGCAAGGAAATTTCATCCAAAGTATTAAAAAAATATCAAATTATTGAAAATCTTAAATAGTCTACGAATTTTCTTTCTCAAATCAAAGTAGAGATATATTTGCAATTTTTATAAATAATCAATTATTTTGTCATCTCTTTGTGTATTTAAATAATTGAATGCATGTACATCTTTTCGATAAGAATTGATATAAAAAAGAGTTTCAATTAAAATTTTAGAAAATATTTCAAGAATTGCAGTTCTAATTTTAATTAAATTTCAAAAGGTTTAACATTGAAAGTATTTGGAAGCGATATAACAGGAATTTTAAGAAATAATTAAATTTTAAAAGCTTTTCAGATTGAAATCTTTTTAACATTTGAATCGGCGTAAAAGTATAATAGTATTATTTAAATATTTATTTAAAAAAATAATATATTGATTTCATTTAAAAATTATTAAAGTTCTGAATAATGTTTTTTCTAAAATTGTAAAAAATAATTGACTTTTGGAAAAATTGCAGTTGTAATTTTAAGAAATAATTAAATTTCAAAAAGTTTTACATTGAAATTATTAATATTATTATAAATAATAATTATTATTACATTGAAATTAAAAGGTTTTACATTTGAAATTTCAATTAAAATAATTATCAAATAGTTTTTAAATATTTCTTTAACAAAAAAATATTAAAAATAATACATTTTCATTAAATTTCAAAAAGAAAGTTTTTGTAACTAACAACGGGTTGAGAAATTTTACGCGAGTGTAGTTGTACTTGTTTATTATAAATTTCAATTATAGTAAATTGAAAACATGCTCTTAAAGTTTTGGTCGTTCAAATGAATGCCGATATTTTTGTCACTACTTTTAATTTGTATTTTACTAAAAATTATTGTTTCCTACATTAAAGAAATTAATTGTTAACAAAGTTAGTGGTAAATTTTAATTATTTCTAAATTCAATATAGTAATTTTGAAAAATCTTTAGACAGAAAAAAAATTTCGTTCAATTGATCTTTTAAAATAGTAGTGAAATTTGAAAACTTTAATTCTATGTAATAAAAAAGTTTTTTAATCTTTTACTTTTTTTCTTTAAATTTTTTTTCCATTTAAGATTAATAAAAAAAAACAGAAAAATGGTAAAAGGTGATAAAAAATTTGTTATTAGATATAATTTTGTAAAATTGAATTAATTAAAATACATTGAAAAATAAATAAATTTAAATTATAATGAATTGAAAAGGATCCTAATAAATAATAATAAGGATTTGTAATTAAAAGAGAAAACGGCCACATAAAAAATTTTAGATAAAAACATTTTTAATATTTTAACTAATAAAATTTTCTTTTCCAGCTATCAGTCATCGCTGAGTCAACATTTGAAGAAAAAGCATTTTATTTTCTAATTAGTAAAACAGTTAATGATTTACTTATGTCATATGTTGAAAGTTTTCTCCTTTCAATAGTAAGTACAATTTTTTCGTTCGCATCTTGCGAAATTTGATTTTTTCAACGTTTGTTTAAGTGGGTGCTACAAAATATGAAACAGTGAGCAATTTCATTTTCTTTTTTTTTTTGCCTTCTGTTGAGTTAATGTTTGGTGTTGGCTGATATTCAGATAAGCAAAGAAAATAAGTGCGTTGAAAAAATTTGTCAAAACAATTAAAAAAAGGAGAAAAGAAAAAATTTAAACATATTAATAGAATATTAAAAGTTTCAAAGAAAGTATTTTGAAGGTTTAAATACTTGTTAAAAAAAGAACGTTTATCGCATAATTTTGAATTTCTGAATAACTCACGAAATTCATGTATTTCAATATAATACTTTAAAAAAAATATATATTTTTTGCTTAAAAATGCTAAATGTTGGTAAAAGTACCAACATTCCTTTTCCTTAGATTCGTAAATTTAATCAAAATTGTTTTTTTTATTTATTTCACTGTGATTGAATAAATCACTCATTTTACACTAATTGAAGTAAATATTAAATGTATTTTAATACATTTCTAATTATATTTTAATTATTTTATTGAAATTTTTTCAATGACAGGAAAATTAAATTTTATTTAAATAAATGGATTCATTCCTAATTGGAAGAAACAAATAATAATTACTAATTAAGAAAAAATAAGAAAAAGTAAAAAAAAGGAGTAAACAACTAAATAATAAGAAAAGGAATACATTTTTTTAAAATATATTTATAAACATAGGACTAACTTTTCATAAAAAGAAAAACGGTGTGAAAACGGAAAATTGTCTTATCTTTCTTACCAAAGTTTCTTTAGTGGAGGAAAAAAGAATGTTTAGTTTTTATTTGTAATTATAATTGTAAACCGAACAAAGAAGAGATGTGTTCGTAACTGTTTTTTTTTTGGTTTTTAAATATTTTACTCATTTTTTTTTTTGACCCCAAACATTTTTTAAGTACAAAAATGAATCAAAATTTTTAATTCTCTTTTTTTAAAGGTTTTGTTTTTAAAACGCATATTTGTAGATAATTGTAATGTGATTAGCTGAAAAAGAATTTTCATGAATTACCTTTTTTAAAAAATAAAATTTCAAATTTAATCTTTATTTTAATTTTTACAAATTATATGTTGGTTATAGTAAAATGTCTTCTTTTTTCTTACCAATAGATCAGTTTAAATATTTGTAGCATCTACTGGCATTCGTTTGAAAATTTTGAATCTTTACAAATTGTTTTTCTCCGAGTCGACAGAAGAAAAATTTTTTTTGTTTCGTTTTTCTATGTTTATTTTTAAATAATTTTTTTCCTCCATTTTCGTGTTTTTTTCTCTACATTTTTCTGTGCGTGTGTGTGTGTGTGTGTATTTTTTATATCCTTTTCTCTTTTAATTTTATGACGTCTATTGAATTCTCTCATCTCTTTTTTTATGTGCCTCTTTTGCATTTTTTAGAAAAATATATGAATTCTGCAAAAAATTGACCTAAAATTTAAACGCAAATAATGGAATAATTTAAGGGTAATATTTAGAACTATTTTTTAGTGTTATGTATGATTATTAATTAGATCGAAATTTATTTATAGTTTTAATTTATATTAAAAATTGAAAAAAATGCATAGTATTAAAAAAAATAAGTAATTATTTGCCTTCGCAAATTTTTATGTTTTACTCTTTCTTCAGTTTTAAGAAGAATTTTGTTTTAAAAAAATTTATCGCTTTTATGTGATTTTATATTGTTATACAATATAAACACAGTAACATTTGTAAAAGTAAGAAACTAACGAAATTTGTTTATTTGACACGAAATTCATTTGTGAATTTATTTTCTCAAAATTTGGAAAAATTAAATTTTTTAAATTTCAAAACGTACATGACAGTTAAATATTACTCTTGAATATTGTTTTTTATTTTCAAATTTAGGTTCTCAACTTTTTCAGAATATTTTTTTCAGTTTTTTTATTTTTTTTTCGTTTTATTATACATTGTGTCGCTATTTTTGTTCTTTTAACTCTACACTCGCCAAAATGTTTTTAATTTTAACTCTTAAACATTTGTTATTGATAAAAAAAGTAAAACAAGTTTCCTACTTTATACACTTTCAATGGAAGTTATCAGTTTTTCGATAAATAATAAATTTTTCAACACGCAAAAAATCATTTTCAGAAAGATTACTTTTTTTAAAATGATTTCAATATTTGGTGAATTTTAGCATTTGTCGAAATGATTACGTAATAAGGAGGGAGGACTACGTTAATGACTCAAAATATATTTTAATTAATATTGAAGATTTTAAAGTTAAACAATATTTTTTTTAACGAACGTGTTTCATAAATTATTTCCTCTTTTGAAGAAATAATTTTCTTTACATTTTTATTTTAACAATTATTTCTTATATTGAAGAATTATTTGCTTTGTAAAGGTATTCTTTAAAATCTTCCAGAGGAAAGAATTACTTAATTTTTAAGTAATTAATTAATTAATTAATTAATTAATTTTCAGTAAACAAAAAATTAGAGTAAATAATTTTTTTTAATCTTAAGTAAATTTATAAGTATAATATTCGTCGTTCAACAAATTTTAGTTTTTAGCTTTTAAACTCTAGGTGATATTTTGTAAACGTTCTTCTCAAAATCTCAACCTAATTCTTTTAATTTTATTTTTCAAAAAATTTATTTTCCTTTTTGGTTTCAAAATTATGAGAATTTTCAAAACTGTCGTGATTAACTACGTCATAAAGCAACCGATTCTTTTTTTTTTTTTTTTTTGAAAAAAATGCTCATAATAAATGTGATTGTGATACACACACACATACATACACAAGATATCGAAGAAATATTTTAGTTTTTAATTTTATTAATGAATATTGAATTATATAATTTCATATTGTAATAGTTCGTTAATATTAGTATTACTACATTATAATTATGTAAATTGAAAATGACATTTAATTTGTAAGGTAAACGAAGGCTTGATTTCTTGTTACAAGAATATCTAACAATACATCACTAATATGATTGAAATTTATTTACTATTGTAACATTCGTTGTAAACAGTATTTAAAAAATGATGAGACTTAAAGCAACGACCAATGATGAAAAACTATTTTTTTAGTATATAAATTCACACTGGAATTAAATAGTACTTAATAAGTTAGACAGTAAGAAATTATCAACATTTTGAATTTATTAACATGGTTAAATGTAAACTATAAAATAGTTTTTGTTAAACATGTTATAAAGTGATAAAAAATGAAACTGAATAAATTTGTTTATATTCTTCTACAATTTTTCCATTTTCTTATTTGAATCAAATTCAAATTTGACAAATCGTATGAAATGATTCTAAATCTCTCCACAAATAATACAGGAACACAAAAAAAAATTGGATTGCCCGGACTGCCATGTGGTAGGTTTTCTTCCCTAAGGTGTATCTAAAGAGAAAAACATTGTCCGACCTAAAAGTTAGTTCGTGTTCTCTTTTTACAGGCTTAGTGGGGGGGGGGGTGATGTTTGAGAAACTGATTTTTATGGGAATTTACTTAATTTCTATAAATAAAGCTGAATTTTTGCTTCTTCTGAATGTTTTTTTGAATTCAGTGACTTTAATAACATAAGAATTGAATATATAAAAGAAATAAAAATGTCGGATTTAAAATGGTGGATTTAAAAAAAAATTGTTCAGATTTCCTTGAAACTTGTTACTCGCGGGTTTTTGGGGACGCTGATTACGAATCTGACATCAGATTTTTAAAATTAAAAATGGCGGATCCAATATGGGGGACGAAATTTTTAAAAATTCCTCGCATTTACTTGAAACTCGTTACTCGGGGGTTTTCGGGGTCACTGATTACGAATATGATGTTAGTTTATAAAAATTCAATATGGCGGTTCCAATATGTCAGACAAAATATATTTAAATGAATGAAATCGATTGAAACTTGCTACTCCGTGGGGATTTTCGAGGTCGCCGAAAACGAATCTGAGGTTGGATATTAAAAATTAAAAATGGTGTATCCAATACGACTTACGATGAAATTGTTCGCAGATTTTCTTGGTTCTTGGTACTTACCCAGTGTGCACGTTCTCGAACTGTTCAGTAGCAGTTAATGGAAATAAAGAACAGTTACAGAACGGTTCCGGAATTGTTCCGGGACGTGCACACTGGGTAGGTGTTTCCTCTAGTCGCTAATTTTAAATCTGAATGTTTCATAATCCAGAAATGGTTTACTGTAATGTTTTACTAAAATTTAATCGCATTTCTGTGATACTACAATCTGAAAAAGTTTTTGACCTATGTAAAATTAGTTTCCGTGTTTATTTATTTTCTTTTTTCTATTTTTGCGACTAGGACACCTCTTCGTGGTGAAGGTGGGCAACGAATTCTCGGCTAAGTTTCTAGGTTAAAATTATGCCTTCATGGCAAAAGTAGGAAAGAAGTTTACGATTCAGAGGAGGGATACCTCAGTATCGGCGATTTGTAAAAGCCTTGGACAAAAATGGCAAATGTTTTGAGTATTTGGCGGAGAAGTTTCCGAAACTGTCTGACTCTAAAATCAAAGAAGGCGTGTTCGATGGGCCTCAGATACGTAAGAACTTTTAGGGCGGACAATGTTTTTCTCTTTAGATACACCTTAAGGAAGAAAATCTACCACATGGCAGTCCTGGCAATCCAAATTTTTTTTGTGTGCCGGTATAATTTAACATAAGAAAATACTCATTTGCCTTTCTTTATTTCTTATACTTATTATTTTTGTTTTGTTTCCTTCCTTTTCATCTTTTATTAACCTTTGTAAGTAATCGTTGACGTTTGGATTTTAGTTTTAATTTTGACTTCACGGTTTCCACATGTTTAATTTATTTTACAAACTCACTATTTCAGTGGTTTATTTAGTGTAAATTGTTGGAAAATGTTGTTCATTTATTTATTTAATTATTTATTTGGTGTTGTTATTTATTCAATTTTATTGTTATTAATAATAGATTATATCTCTTCTCTTAATTGGTATAGTCTTCTCTTAATTGGTTCTCATCATATTCTTATTTTTCTAATTCCATTTTATTTATTTCTATTTTTGTTCTCATCTACATTACCGACCGTGAGTATCAGGACGCCCCTTTTTTCATGAGTGGAAAAATGCTTAAAACGTAGAAAAAAAGAATGACAAAAATTTTTCGTATTTTTTTCCTGAAAGCTAATGAAATTATGAAAAGACTGACACCTGATCGAAGAATTTTCGTTGACTATTCTGTCAGATACAGAAAAAATACTGGATTTTGCATGCTTTTCATAATTTTTTAATTTCTCGAAAACTAATTAACTTTTTTTAGCGTTCTTGGTCTTATTTAAATCTCTATTCAATGTAGAATCTAAATTAATTAATGGTATTGTGATATAAATTTTTCCAAAAAAATTTGAAACTGAAAGTCGGATAAAAAAATTTTTAAAAACAGATTGATACTTTTTCAAAAAAAAAAAAATTT